GGAAATAGCTTGGGGAAACTTCGCTGGGAGGGAGCGAGACAGGATGCTCGACGGGATGAAGCCGTGGAAATAGCTTGGGGAAATAGCTTGGGGAAACTTCGCTGGGAGGGAGCGAGACCGGATGCTCGACGGGATGAAGCCGTGGAAATAGCTTGCGGAAATAGCTTGGGGAAACTTCGCTGGGAGGGAGCGAGACCGGATGCTCGACGGGATGAAGCCGTGGAAATCGCTTGGGGAAACTTCGCTGGGAGGGAGCGAGACCGGATGCTGGACGGGATGAAGCCGTGGAAATAGCTTGGAGAAACTTCGCTGGGAGGGAGCGAGACCGGATGCTCGACGAGATGAAGCCGTGGAAATAGCTTGGGGAAATAGCTTGGGGAAACTTCGCTGGGAGGGAGCGAGACCGGATGCTGGACGGGATGAAGCCGTGGAAATAGCTTGGGGAAACTTCGCTGGGAGGGAGCGAGACCGGATGCTCGACGGAATGAAGCCGTGGAAATAGCTTGGGGAAATAGCTTGGGGGAAACTTCGCTGGGAGGGAGCGAGACCGGATGCTCGACGGGATGAAGCCGTGGAAAGAGCTTGGGGAAATAGCTTGGGGAAACTTCGCTGGGAGGGAGCGAGACCGGATGCTGGACGGGATGAAGCCGTGGAAATAGCTTGGGGAAACTTCTCTGGGAGGGAGCGAGACCGGATGCTGGACGGGATGAAGCCGTGGAAATAGCTTGAGGAAACTGCGCTGGGAAGGAGCGAGACCGGATGCTGGACGGGATGAAGCCGTGGAAATAGCTTGGGGAAACTTCGCTGGGAGGGAGCGAGACCGGATGCTGGACGGGATGAAGCCGTGGAAATAGCTTGGGGAAACTGCGCTGGGAAGGAGCGAGACCGGATGCTGGACGGGATGTAGCCGTGGAAATAGCTTGGGGAAAGCTTTCGCTGGGAGGGAGCGAGACCGGATGCTGGACGGGATGAAGCCGTGGAAATAGCTTGGGGAAACTTGCGCTGGGAGGGAGCGAGACCGGATGCTGGACGGGATGAAGCCGTGGAAATAGCTTGGGGAAACTTCGCTGGGAGGGAGCGAGACCGGATGCTGGACGGGATGAAGCCGTGGAAAATAGCTTGGGAAACTTCGCTGGGAGGGAGCGAGACCGGATGCTGGACGGGATGAAGCCGTGGAAATAGCTTGGGGAAACTTCGCTGGGAGGGAGCGAGACCGGATGCTGGACGGGATGAAGCCGTGGAAATAAAATAGCTTGGGGAAACTTCGCTGGGAGGGAGCGAGACCGGATGCTGGACGGGATGAAGCCGTGGAAATAGCTTGGGGAAACTTCGCTGGGAGGGAGCGAGACCGGATGCTCGACGGGATGAAGCCGTGGAAATCGCTTGGGGAAACTGCGCTGGGAGGGAGCGAGACCGGATGCTCGACGGGATGAAGCCGTGGAAATAGCTTGGGGAAAGCTTTTCGCTGGGAGGGAGCGAGACCGGATGCTGGACGGGATGAAGCCGTGGAAATAGCTTGGGGAAACTTCGCTGGGAGGGAGCGAGACCGGATGCTGGACGGGATGAAGCCGTGGAAATAGCTTGGGGAAACTTCGCTGGGAGGGAGCGAGACCGGATGCTGGACGGGATGAAGCCGTGGAAATAGCTTGGGGAAACTTCGCTGGGAGGGAGCGAGACCGGATGCTGGACGGGATGAAGTCGTGGAAATAGCTTGGGGAAACTTCGCTGGGAGGGAGCGAGACAGTATGCTGGACGGGAAACCGTGGAAAATAGCTTGGGGAAACTTCGCTGGGAGGGAGCGAGACCGGATGCTGGACGGGATGAAGCCGTGGAAATAGCTTGGGGAAACTGCGCTGGGAAGGAGCGAGACCGGATGCTGGACGGGATGAAGCCGTGGAAATAGCTTGGGGAAACTTGCTGTGGGAGGGAGCGAGACCGGATGCTGGACGGGATGAAGCCGTGGAAATAGCTTGGGGAAACTTCGCTGGGAGGGAGCGAGACAGCACGCTGGACGGAGAGGAAACCGTGCAAATATAGCTTGCGGAGAGCTTCGCTGGGAGGGAGCGAGACAGCATGCTGGACGGGACACAAAACAGTGGCAATAGCTTGCATTGAGCTTCGCTGGGAAGGAGCGCGACAGCATGCTGGACGGAGAGGAAATAACGTGCAAATAGCGTGTGGAGAGCTTCGCTGGCAGGGAGCGAGACATGCTGGACGGACAGGAAACGTTGGAAATAGCTTGCGGAGAGCTTTGCTGGGAGGAAGCGAGCCAGCATGCGGGACGGAGAGGGAACAGTGCAAATAGCTTGCGGAAAGCTTCGCCGGGAGGGAGCGAGACAGCATGCTGGACGGAGGGGAAACCGTGGAAATAGTTTGGGGAGAGCTTTGCTGGGAGGAAAGCGTGGAAATAGCTTGGGGAGATCTTCGGTGGGAGGGACCGAGACAGCACGGCTTTTGCACACAGAATCTTGTACACACAGACGCGTTCACACACAGGAGGTTTTATACAAACAGAAGACTTTACGGCGCACAGAACTTTTATATACATAGAGCAGCTTTTACGCAGCGAAGCCTGTACACACAGGACAAAGGGGAGCTTTTTTACACAGAAGCTTTTACATAGGGTTTTTTTAATACACAGAAGCTTTTACACACAGAAACCTTTACACACAGAAGCTTTACACACAGAAACTTTTACACACAGAAACTTGTACACACAGAAGCTTTTACACAAGCCTTTACACAATGGAGCTTTTACACACAGACAGGTTTACACAGAAGAGTCTTTACGCACGGAGGCGTTTACACAGGAAAGCTTTTTCACACAGAAGCGTTTACACAGAGTAGTTTTTACGCAGAGAAATCTTTACACAAAGAAATCTTGACACAGAGAAGCTTGCACACACACACACAGAGGCTTTTACACAGAGAAGCCTTTTACACAGAGCAGCTTTTTCACCGAGGAGCTTTTACCCAGAGGAACTTTTACACAGAGAAGCTTGTACACTCAGAGGCTTTGACACAGAGAAGTCTTTTACACAGAGAAGCTTTTGCACACAGAAGTTTTACACAAACAAAATCTTAACACAGAGGAGCTTTTACATACAGAAGCATTTATGCAAAGAATCTTTTGTACAGAGAAGTCTTTACCCATTTTTCATCATGTCTCATTTTTCACTATCATTCACCACCTATCACCTTCATATCTTCGTTTTCATGCTCTTTTGGTCAGCTCCCTCCGTCGTTTAGTTTTCATTTTGCACGGTGTTCTGTCCGTCGACGCTTCGTCCTCGCTCCCTCTGCGGCGAAGCAAACTAAACGAGAACGCAGGAATTATAGCGGCTAAAAAGATGGGATAGAGTTAATTACATTAGCAGAAATAGCGACTAGAAGAATGTAGACGTAGCTGACACAGCATGCTGTGGTGAATTGCGGCCCCTGATACCATCAGCGCGCACGATGTTTCAGTAAAGATCTTACGTCGATTTCGTGCAGAGCACACACCACAAGATTTTCAAAAAAATCGTGCTGTGTGCCGTCTTGCTTTTGGGTGCTCTGGCCCACCTTGTTTTTATAGAATGAATCTGAGGCATATTTATGGAATGGTCCGGCAAGTTTAAGGATCTGAGATTTCGATGGTTAAAAATCCCAAAAAATAACTTTATAGAATGAATTGGCTAGTTACAAATTAAAAAAAAAACAGGAGGAAAGCCAGCAGGACATGTCGGTTTATAGAATGCTATTTCAAGTGCATGTTTGGTCCAAACATTTCGAAACAAGTCTGTTACTCGAATCGAACATGACACTCCATGGGATTTATGGAATGCATCTACCAGGATGGTTAACTTCGAAAAGAGAGTAACGGTCTAGAGTCTATATATTTTAGGCTTAGGCTCCAAGGCCTGGGCATGGAATTGTTTCATATTTCCATGTCCGGCTCTTTCAATTTTAAGGTGCATGTGCAGTTTGGCAAACTGCACACCCCCAGAGAACACCGTTTGCTTTTTCCACGCCCTGGAAAAAGCAAATCCGCCATGGACAAAGCAAATCCGCCGTTTGGAAAGCAAAAACATCAACGGGGTTTGCGGCCAACGCCGGGGGAGCAAGATGTTTAGGCAGCATTTTCGACATTGCTCTTACAAACTTTCAAAGCTACTATCCTTTCCAACCCTCCTGAACCGCAAGCTCGTCTCCAACATAGTATTTTTTTCCTCAAGCGAACTCACTGAAGTCAAACCGTCTGTGAAACGGAAACGAAAGGAAACGAAACGGAAAATATGTTTAATAAGTGCGAAACGAAACGAAACGAAACGAAACGAAACGAAACGAACCGATCATCTCTGCGAACCGAACCGAACCGTAGCCTCCCACAAAACGAACCGCCAAACATCCAGTTCCTTGAAAACGAAACGAAACGAACCGACCACATCCTGGTCCCAGTCCAAAGCATCGTACCACTACGATTTGCATCAAAAAGTCAACATTCCCCAAAACATAGGACTAATCTGGGATGAGGTGTCTAACAGCACTTCCCATAGGCACAAAGGTTACGAAACCTACGAAAATAAGACGAGTAAGGTCTACTACCCAGTATATTTTTATAATAAACTATTTATTGATAATATACTATTTTTTTAAAAACTAATTCCTATAAATAATAGTATGCCAATTCGGTGTTTTTATCGCAGATTCCACGATGGTTATGATTATGAAGAATTTCAGGTCATAATCTCCTTTCTTGTAATCACTTGCAAAGATTAGCTTTGTCGCTTTGCAATGCTACGAGCCCGGAAATTATCTGGCCCGGATGGAAAACCAAATTTTGCTCAAAATTGTTATATGATTTTAGGGTTTGGGCGTTATTTCGGGCCCCTTGTCAGCTTTGAAAGCTCACCTTACTGCAAGTCTTTCGTGCTCGTGCATCCGCCAACTCCATTCCACCTCCCCGCACCTAAAGGGCTATCAATAACCTGACCTTCCTTTGGGGGATGTTGGCGGGGCCACGGGAGACTGCATATATTATCATATATTTATTGTATTTTATTGTACTGTATTTTGGATCGAGGTGACTTGAATGGGCGACAGAAAAACAACATGGTAAACTGGTAAAAGGAGAAGGGCCTTCTCCATGATTCGTTTCGGAGACCTTGTGTACGTACTAGATATACTAGCCGTTTAGAGAGTCTAGGATTTTGCAAATCTAAGAGTGCTCCTTCGCAAGCATTTTTTCATTCTGGCGAAAGCTATCAGTTTTTGAAATGAACAATCAACGGACCCATAGATTAGATGGATCTGAACATGTCTGAAACTACAGTAGACGTGAAACAATCGTCACTGAATTACGCAGTTGCATCCTCCGCTGGCCTGAATTTCAGCGAATTTTCAGTGTGCATCACGATGCAAACTCTGTCACAGCTGAAGCATCATTCTGTGGAGCAAGACTCTTAGTTTGACCAGCTCCCTTCTTGAACAAACTCGTTGTTTATTGGGAACAACCCCCCCAAAAAAATATAAGAACTATAAAAACAATTAAAACCAGCTTTATCCTTACATCATCTTACATCTCTTAGCTCTCTGAGGAGTTGCACCTTGAGGTGCACTTTGTAACCTTCCAAGCCTTCTTTGTACCTTCCACACCTGCCGCGACTTGGAAAACAGACAGGATAGACTATGATAGACTGCTGTGATCTTGTTTGATCTTGTTTGCTCGGTTTCTGGCATATGATCCTTCAAGGCATTGGTGCCCCCTCGAAGAAGAAGTGACCTGGCTCAAAGCTCAGCTAATTGCACCTGAAGTGTGCTTGAAAAGCAACGTGCCATGTCGGGGAGACTGGAATGACTCGGCTTTGGCCATGTGTATCCTCCCAGCACACATCGAGTAGACGAATCTTCCGCCAAGAAAGCCCACAATGTCTTGAATGCATAACAATCGGCTTCCGCCTGGGTCTCCTCTCAGTGGAATCCAAATTGACGTCCTCAATTCTGCAGAAAACATCAGAAAACTGGGATCTTGCCCCCATGGCCCAAACCATAACCAGGTATCATCAGGTTACCTGGTATGTGCTACTGTATGCAGGCCCTCGCCTCCACACTTCCAACTTGCCCTTGCCACTCGATCCAATACACCTACCATCTTGAAAAGCGATGCTGTCACGATGATGAGCTCGGCACTCACAACTCAATGGAACTCAAATGAACTCAACCAGTTCAGCCTGTCCAGCGACAAATAATGGAGGAAATGACCTGGAGCAATCTCAAATAAGCTCATAGATCTCATAGTGTGCCATGGTGCCGTAGGACATCTTGCTATCCTTTTTCTTCATCGTTTGTCATTTGCGAATTGGAAATCTTCAGGTCAACACTCATGGTGCTTCCTTGCCCTCTCATCTTGGCATTCCTTGACTGCATCCAATATGCTTTGCTTTGCCTCAGGATGCCGATGCTCTTGGAATTGGTGAACATGATCTTTGGCTGGCTTCGCGGGAAACCATGGAACAGCTTTCCCTGTTTTTATTTGGAACTGGCACAACATATTATCTCAAAACATGTAACATTGTAAATCCATGTAATTCCACCAAATTGATCAAACTTGGATGGGTCAATAGCCAAGAAAAAAAAAGAAAACTGCGGGACATCCCCCATTTTTGCCACACTCATCTCCCGAGCCCAGGAGATGTGCCTTGGTTTCTTCCGCATTCTCCGGAGCTGCATCGCGTCTCATCAGGTTGAAGCGGTGATGGTAAAGCTCCAGGCGGTCCACGGCCATACATTCCAGACCTCATCTGGGGAGATGTGCCCAGTGGAATCAGTCACCTTTTCAGCTTTTCCCCTCTGTTTGCTGGTAACCAAACATGTCTCTGGCTCTAGGAACAAAAACGAATTTAGAAATACTTAGAACTTAGCCAACTGATCAAATTCTTCCATGCAGCTTGGGATTTTATTATTCAATGTTGTCCAATATGGAGACGTTGCGATAGGTAGGGGCAGAAAACCTTTTTGTTTGGATGGGAGATGACAGATTGACATCCATCCTCACCGTCACTTGTGCCAACCTGGGCTTTACTGCCCTTCCAGCTGCCTCTATATTACGCCCTGATACATAAGCACACCAATGACATTCTAGAGGACACAGCAGAGGATGGCAGGAGCACACTTGGATTGCGAGCATGAGTTGGTTCCCTTCGAACCCTGAGTTTGCAGCCCAAATGGAAAACATTCGCCAAGCTTGCTCTTGGCACCTTGCGTCTCCATCAGCTTACGCAAGTATCAGCCAATACAAGCCACACTGTTGCAAGTTTTGCACACAGCAAACTTCAACCATTGCCAAAACCAAGACCACCAATGCGCCCAGCACTGCAGTTGTGCTGAGATCATCACGACATCAGCGCGATTGATGAAGGAGTATATCGTCAAACCCTGGCGGACATAGCACACTTTGCTCAAGGGATTGCACTCCGCCCAGTTTTGGCGTTCTGTTGTGTAGCCAAGGAACACGCAAGGCGCTGTTGGACAATGGACCGACCACCGGTGGCGGTGCATAGGCAAAACATCGCATCTTCGGACTTCCACTCAAGGGCGAAACCTTTGCACAACAGTGGGAAATTCCCTTGCATCCATCCGTGCCAGCACTTGGCGCTAGCTGCGCTAGCTGTCCCAACTAAGGAATCGACCCTTGATAGCAGCACTGTGCAAAGAATGGCCGTGCCAGCTCCAAGACTATGGCCAGTGATCAGCAAGGGGAAGCCTGGCTGTCTGGAGGAGTCGGGTGGGGTCACTTTGCTGTGCAATGGCATGATAGTTTTACCCGCGGTCTGCAAGTAGACATTTCGTCCATCTCCTGGAAATGCCAATAAAATGAGGGAACTTGGCCAAGAAAAGACGTATCTCAAAGGTCTCTTCGCCATGTTGCAAAACAAGAGCCACTAAATGCCACTAAGCACAAACTGGCTTAAAGAAAGAGTGACAGCTCCGGTGCGTGCTGTCGTGGCAAAGCAGCAGCAGCAACCCCATCAAAAAAAGAAACACAGGAAAGGAACATGCAGTGGGATGCATGGGGAATACGAAGATTTCCAAATTTCTTGGGGACTCGGCATCTTTGAAAATCAATGACAGATGCACCACTGGCCAACCAACATGACCAAAACCCAGCAACATGCCTGTCTCTCTCAAGGCTTCTTCCAATGCTGGGCGTGTCTTTTCGATGACAGCTTTGGCACTTGCCTCCAGCACTTGATAAACTCCAGTACGGCCAGTACGTCAAAGCAGCAAATTACCATGCAAAAACAGAACATCAACCCACCAATCAACAGTTATAAATTTCCGATCAAGTACAAACATCAATTACGATGAAAGTCAAGAATTCCAACCCTTTGGTCATCCAAAATCAGGGCGCGCCAGCATTGCTTTGTGAGCAAGTAGACCGGAGCATTTTTCAACCTGCAAAGTCGCCCCTAAGCAATGCACATGTCCCCTCCTAAGAAACTTCCAAGAACCTGTGAACAACATTCAACAGCTGTGATTCATCGCCTCAGTCGCTTCTCCCACTGCATCTGTCAATGCATCTGAAAGTGTGGTGGTGCCACGAATTCCCAGGACGACAGCTTTCTGTCTCCGGGAGAAGGGACCAGTCATGTTCCATGATGTTCCAAAGGTTAGAAAACCATCACCCAGGATCACCCGGGACCCATCTCCTGTCCACCGCAACAAAGTGGCCGGGCATTTGAACCCCTGTGGCGAAGCGGAAGGAAGGAGCTGCAAACAATGACCTGTTCCCACAGCCAAACTTGCCTGCATTTTGAAGGTTTGCGGCGCGCACTTCCACCCCGGGCCTGAAATTTGAGTAACACAAGGAAATATCACAAACATCTGCAAACTACATGCCAGTACCAGTGATTGTGGAGTCCACGAGTCATCCACGAAACATCCATGAGGTGAAACCTGAACACTTACTTCCACAAGTTTCTGGACTGAAACTCATGCATGGCTAAGGCTGAAACTTCTCGCCGATTGCGACATTGACGCTTGCTTTGTCGTACCCTTTGATGTCCTCTTTGCCGTATGCACCCTGCGCAAAGTCAACCTGGGTTCGAATACATAAAGATGATTATGTAGAAATGGATAGAAATGGAACATGTGGAGTGTATGAAATCTAGCAGAGTCCCAGGCCCAGTATGCGGCTTCGTCCAACAGGGCGACATCAGTCAGTGGTCCTCAACAGACCAAGCAGTGCTTTATTATTGGACACTCTGGACAACTGCAAGATCGGACGGTGTTTTTCAACATTTTTCAATTGTGTTCACATATTTTCACCAAATGTTTGATGATTTTTGTCCTTCGTGTTCCGGTGGCTTCAGGGTGTTGTGTTGCATGGCAACCTGAGCAGAACTTGAGAATCCCTCAGCAATGGATGTCGCTGCGAAAGAGTCCAAACCGCTGAGAAATTGACCAGCAGAAGCGCCATTGTCAAGCCAAATTTTGCCTCTTTCAGTTTCAGCTCCTGCGGTGCTGTCAAAACTCTTGGTTGACCGTATGTTCTGAACCATTGAGTCCAAGTGGTCATTTGCACCTCGGGAAAAAAAACCCTTCTCGGTCACGAACATGGAAACAGTTCAATGCCGCTGAAATTCTGGACATCTTGAGACAGTTTGTGAATCCTTGTGATATCTGTGACATCTTGTGACATCTTCCAGTCCTTGGAAATCTTTTCCATACATTCTGAAAGGGCGTCCAGCATTCCAAAGACCTCGTTGCCAAATTCCGCCTTCACTTTGGTTTGCACCAGCTCAACGAGCTGTTGTCCAGCTCGAGAGTGAAGGTCAATGGCTTTGGCTGAGGCCCACCTCATGCGAGATCTCACATCCGGCAAAGGTGGAAATTGTGGAGCATTCTGGTGCTGGATATGCAAAATCACGAAACAAACTGAACAAACATGAAAGAACAAATCACGACACCATGGTCAAACTGTCTCGAAATGCCGGAAAAATTGCAGACACACATCATCATGCTGAGGCAACCACTGGTGGAAATCAGTGATTCCCATCTGGGCAGCCATCTTTTGAAAACTTGGAGCATTGGCATAGGCATTTGTAACCTTAGACATTTGCGATACGAACACACGCTACAAGGCCCTTGACCATCAGCGGTACGTGCGTTCATCATGCCTGAACATTTTTTTTGTGAGTGATATTGATCTCCCATAATCTCTCTAAGTTGTTTTTCAGATCTACAGTACTGAACTAAATATGCAATCTGTACCGCAGTGCCAACCCTCACCCAAAGAATTCATCTTGGGGATCACAATTTCAGTCTGCGGGCGAATGGAAAGCAAACAAACACCGTCAAATACAAATAAACATGCACACACACACACACATCTCTGAAATTTATCTATCCGCCTACCCCGGCCGACAGCACCCAACAGCCAACAGCCAACAGCCAACAGCCAACAGCAACCACAACCGCAACAACAACAACAACAACAACAACAACAACAACAACAACAACAACAACGACAACGACAACGACAACGACAACGACAACGACAACGACAACGACAACGACAACGACAACAACAACAACAACAACAACAACAACCACGACGACGACAACAACAACAACAACAACAACAACCACGACAACAACAACAACAACAACAGCAGCAACAACGACGACGACGACGACGACAACCACCCACCGGGTCGGGAACTGAACGTGTAGTCGTTGCGATTTTAACGTCGACTTTGGAAAACGTGGTATTTACAGTGTTTCTGACACCTTGGAGAGCACAAAACGCACGCAATTACAGCGTGATTTGGGTGAATTCTCAGGTTTTTTTTCATATATCGGGGGGTCAGAAAAACGACGGAGTTTCTGAAATGTTTTTCATTTTTTTACCTCAATTTTTTGACGTTTACACTTGCGCGAACTTCTTTTCTCTTCTTCACCTCAGCCGCTTCAGTTTGTTCCTGCAACCACAAACAGGTTGGCGACATGAGAGTGCATGAATCTCCATTGCCAAGCAGGAATCCTAGTTTCAATTTGTGGCGACTTGGAACTCAGACTGGCCGGTATATTCATATACATACACATATATAGATATATACGTATGTATATATAATATCTACATGAAATTATATACAGTGGATTCAAGCGGCTGCAGGTGCATGGAAACCATTTCCCAAGGCACCCCATCACAAGCCCAAGAATTCACAAAGTATGCTAAGCAATATCGATTAGTTTCCAACTCTTTTATCATCTTTTCCCATTTTTTCTGCCACGTATTTTCACAGTTTTCCTAGCCAGGCACCTGTTCGTGGGCAGATCCCAGAAAAGTTGTTGCCATGGCTCACTATGCCACGTCTTGGAAAGCAGTTTGAAAGCAAAAGATGTGAGAGTGGCATTGAAGCGATTGGCTCAAAACCTGCAATTCTTTGCAGTCTTGTGGCTTTGGTACCTATTTATAGGTTGAGAAACTAACTGGATGGCGTTCAACATTATCAAAGTGGATAGGCATAGCGGCATAGCATGCCAGAATTTACAGCGTTGCTTGATCCAAATTGATCCACGACGCAACGGCTCTTCCACAAATCGTGAAAGTCTTGGAAATGGTCCAAACGCATGCTCCCCGTTTCCCAACCGCGTGCTCACCTTTTATTTCCTGAAAAAATGAAAAGACACCTGATATCCATTTCAGGATCTGTGGCGCTCTTCACATTCAGCCCATTCACCCCTGCGAATATCTGGCAACTTTGCTGTCAAAAAAACCAGCTGCTTCGCAGCCAGGACAGGCCAGCTCGGTTGGGCAGTGGCTACTGCAATTTTGCATCAAGCCGACCAAAAATGCCCACGTCATCTCAAAATTCATGGCATAATATGGCATAGTCCCTTCCCCCTAATACTCATTATGGCATATATCATATATCCAATATCCTCAAATAGAAAGCCTGGTTCAGTATTTGATCTGTTTATATTTTGAAGTCGCTTGGGGTATGTAATATCAGGGGGATGACAACCCAGGAAAACCACAAAAAATCATTAGTTGATGAGCTGGACAGCACTCACGGCTTCTGTCAAGCAGCTTGGATCTCCAAGTTTCAATTTCCAACTCTCCAGTTGCTTCACACACCTCAATGCCCAACTTACTGAAGAATTAACGACAGAAAAATCAGTAAAAACCAAAGAATCCAGAAGTTCCGCTTTTTCCGAACATGTCGAATCACATTCACTTGAGCAGGTTAGTATCTGCCAGCGTTGCACGAAAGACTTCTTGACACATCAAGCATGCAAAGCTAGCAGCCACCATCTGTTTTCCTGTAGCTCTTGACAAATAAGCTACAAAACCATTTCAGATAGACTCTCTGCCAAAACAACGTTGGTAAAGCAATGTCATGAACCAGCCATATTTTGATGGTTTATACATGATTATACAATCCATTCTCTGGTGATTTAGGAAGTCGCCAGTCTCGTCTGAGGCGCTGATGCGACATGTCTAGGAGCTTCCTGGCCAACGCGCCTCAAACGATAACGTTCCCCGAAAAATGGCAGGGGATGCATTCTGGACAGTTTATGTGCCCGATTTCGATGGTTACGGTTTTCGTATTGTTTGAAAACATGTTGTGGATCAATGATGGTCAATGTTTCCTCCCTACCGACGATGTTTTTCCTCTGGGGGTTTTGGGACGTTTTTGCACCTAACTTTCACTCTGATTGTTTGGATTGGAGAAGGGGTAGAATCTGCTGTTGCTGTTGTGTTTCCTGTGACTGTTTGGGTTGGTGATTAGTACCTAATATTTTTTGTTAAGATATCACGACGTATTCACTTTATCCTCTCCAAGTCCCTATTCCAACCAAGCAGAATTCAATAATTCTCATGGGTAAGTGATTGATTAATGTTGTTGTCATTTCTCCGTCTCAGTTAAAGTCTTTTCCACATTGAATGACGATGTCTCTATCAACCAAAGTGCCATATAGTACTTCATAATACTTCTATTATCAATGATACTGCAGTATGCTTTCGTAAGCAAATATGATTGTTGGTGGTTGTTTCACTGTCATGTGAGAAGGTTTCAACGTGGATATTTTTGAAGGCCACTGGGCATTTCAATAAGTTGTCCTTCAATTGCCATGCATTCCTTTTCATTGTGCTTTTCCAAAACATCTTTTGACCGAAGACCGCATTGGCAATGCCGCATTGGCAATGAACACAGTGATGTAATATGATGTAATTCTTGATATAATTGGCTTTAGGTTTGGTGGCTTGGATGTTTGCTGGCTTGGCTTCCCATCAGTTTGTCATAATCTTTGACATGGACATAATGATAGCCATCTCCATCCTCAAGTTTTGATGAGTTGCTCGTTGAACCTGTGTATTTCTATTACATTCTATTACAATATGATTGCTTCTTTATTGCTTCTTTATCACCATCGGAATCAATGTGAGAACCATTTATTACTTGTTTTTTCCATATTTTTCCTGTCTTGTTTTCTTGGCAGTGGCAAACAGTTGGGATGTCTGCAATCCACCCGTTGATACCTTGTGACTCAGGGCCCCACTTTCGGGTTCATGCTGCAAAGCACTTTCGAAGTCATCATAGGCACCTGAGTTTCCGATTCCCCTGAGGGTAGGCTTGGCCTGCACAAAATAACATATCGAACTTGAAACGTAATCCATCCTGCACATCCCCAGGTGTAGAAGTTTTGTCCTTGTTCTTAAAGTCTGCTGATTCGGTTTTTGTTGGAAAGGTTCACAGAATGACACAGAATGACAAAGACATATTCAAGGGCCTTTTCTGGACAACAGCAACAGAAAGACTGAAGAATAGAACCAGCCTCCTCAACTGAGCTGGCAACTCTTGTAATCGCCTTTGCGATAGTATGCTTGCCCTCGACAGCATAAAAGCTCTCCAGGCTCTGGCATAGCGGGAATGGCCTGATCTTGGCAGCTTCCCCACATCTGTCGAGCAAGCTCACAATATGCCACATGCCTCGTTGCACTCTCGAATGAGATGCTCGTAGTGGCCTGACTTCAAATCAATCAAAGAAACTCTGACATTGGGCAAACCACACTGAAGCAAGTTGTGCATATATTCTGGAAAAAATGAGCAAAGCAGCATCAACTGCTGGAAAAAAACTTCAAACCTGGCTGACCAAAGCATTTTATGTTTTACCAGCCCTTCTCTCCGGCCTTGCTTCAAACGAATCTGTGCTCGACGCTCCCAAGCCTAGTGCCAGTCCGTCTAGATCTAGGAGATCTAGGAGCCATTTTTGGGACAGCGGTGCCAGTGGGACCACAAACTTGCATAAATTTGCTATGATTTGTATTGACTTGTTGCTGTTTGCCAGTCCACTGTCGCACAAGCCCTAGGCAAACACGGTCGAAATCGAGTCATGCCGCCATGCCGCCATGCCTTGTAGTTGTATTGGTCACGTTTGATGACCTCATCCAAGTCTGCCACTGCACCTGGCAGATCCTTTAGGTGCTGCTTGGCAATGGCCCTGAGTACCCACAGATCCGCCTACCAGAGCTGGGACCAGCTGGGAAAGGTGCCGTGGAAAATGGCAACAAAATCTTGGTAAAATGAGGAAATTTGATGAAACACAGCCAAACGATGTCAGAAAATGTCAGAAGAACATACGGTCATCAGATCAGGGTATTGCCTGATCACTCATCTTGAGAGCTTGAGTGCAATCCCGGGCAGCCCCTGCGTAGTCGCCAGTTTCCAACCTGTGGTGCCATTTTCATTTCTCACAGCGTTCCATTTAGGTTACTGAGCCACGTGTGCAAAGTTGCTATCCCTGGCCTGATCTTGGCACCTCACCGACTGGAAGCAAGTGAATGTCAAGTGCCACTTTCACTACCCATGAAAAGTCCTCACCAATTTTTCCAAGGTCTCTGGTTCTAAGGATGCGACGCTGCATAAAATTGCAAGCATTTGGATGGAGCTTGATGGCCTTGCAATACAATACAGTGTTTCCAGAAAAGAACTGCTCATGCAATTTGATGTTTTCTGCTCAGTGTCAGCCATGGCCTTAGAAGTGTCGCCTTCAGCAGCCTTCTTCTGGCCCAAGTTTAGCCTGTAACATATGGCCACGGCGAATCAATCTGTTGTAGGTATGGGCCCTTCACTGGAATAGCAATGGGACTAGGCCACCCAGTAAATCCTCATTCATAATATTCCCATTACTATTGTTGATATCTTTAGTATCTTGGTTGTCAATATTCGCATTATGAACCTCATTCCCCGTATATATTAATATTGCGACCCACTATTGATATTACCATGATTCATATTACCCCAACACACATTAAACCACTATCTTTCCATCTCATCGTTCCTATCCACCTTGCAGCTCCACGATTTCTCCAGCTGCCCGCATGTTGAGGATCGAGGCGCAAGGCCTCAATCCGATTGGTCGTCGAACATGGGAGTTTCAACATGGGCTGCCACTGGCACCCGAAACAACAATATACTATAACAATGTTGTATGGTTAATATGATGATTCTACATGTTTATGCTGGAAAGGAGGCAAACCGTGCTTTTTTCAGAACTTGTGTTTTCCAAGAAGGTCGTTGTTTGGACATCCTTTCTTTTGAGAAATCGTAACATCTTGTCATCCAGGCAAATGTTTGCCCAACAATAACAGCTAATGAAGCGTCAGGGTGATGTCCAAAAAAAAAACACGTAAACCCTTGCACTTTTGGAAGGTCTGCCGTCAGGATCATATAGGTTGGGTTTCAAGTGTTTTCAAGTAGTGATGTTTCAGTACATTGCCATTGCGAGGCAGAAGTGGGCTCAGAAACCCTGATCCCCACAGATCCCTTCAGGATGCACATGTTATTACAGCTGCTTGCTCCAAATCAGTCTGACCAAGTGGTTAAAAATCCAAACAACAAAAAGACTCCGCTACGATGTCCGTCAGTGACCTTGTATACAACGTGAGAAGTAGTATGGGTGCGAGCTCCCCCTGACCCTGATCTGTATCTGACTCACAAACAAAGCACCAAACACAGAGTCTCTGAGGCAATGTCCTGATCGTAGTCAGAGGCGGCTGACGTGTAATCCTGGATCAGTTGTGGGGGTGTCTGAAACAGGCTATACTTGCCCATGTATAGCCCCAAAATCGTTGTTCCAACACGGAAAATGATGAGAATCCAATGGATTCTCAGGGGTACCCGTGGTACATCCCTATATCAATGGATTGGTTTAAGGGAAAATTTACAGGAAAACCCCATATTTAATGGGGAAATCCATGGTTTTCTGCAAATTTTCCCTTAAACCAATCCATTGACTATACGATTTTCAGACATGTCATCATAGCTGTCATAGCGTACGCTTGTAGCGGCCTCCAACATCATCTTGGCCAAGCCGCGCCTAGCCACAAAAAACCCTGCTGGAAAACTTGGGAATCCCATGGGGTTTGGTCCGAAAGTCAATTACTTCCAGATGTTGATGTTGTTTTTGTTGTTGTTGTTGTTGATGATGATGATGATTGATCGTCATTTTTCCATACACATTTTCCCATCAAATGGCCATGAAAGAATGGGGGTATCCGGGACAAACGCATACTTTCTGTTTGGGAATGTGGAATCATCAACCTTAAATTTTGGTCAGCTGAGCCTTCTCCAGAACTCTGGCCGAACACCTTCAGCCTGGATGGCGTCCGTAGCATCTTCCACGGCACCTACGTAGTCTCGAATCCCTGGCAGCAATCGATGTCAACCACAAAAAATACTGTGACCGCAGCATGGTTTTTGAAGAATGGCTTTTGGGAGTTGAAGTTCGTTGAAGTTCATCAAAATATGTGAAATAGAATGAAATTGAAGTCTCCACATGGCTGGAGATGTGTTTTTCCCAATTACTTTACTTCGTGTGATCCCCACCATGACATTTATACATTTTCTTACTGGCAAATCTTCTGGCATTCTATCTGACATATCTTCTGACATTCTATTTGGCATTCTATCTAGCATATCTTCTGGCATTCTATCTTCTGGCATTCTATCTGGCAAATCTTCTGGCATTCTATCTGGCATATCTTCTGGCATTCTATCTGACATATCTTCTGGTATATCTTCTGGCATTCTATCTGGCATATCTTTCTGGCATATATTCTGACATATCTTCTGGCATTCTATCTGGCATATCTTCTGGCATTTCTTCTGGCATATCTATCTGGCATATCTTCTGGCATATTTTCTGGCATTCTATCTTCTGGCATTCTATCTGGCAAATCTTCTGGCATTCTATCTGGCATTCTATCTGGCATATCTTCTGGCATTCTATCTGGCATATCTTCTGGCATTCTATCTGGTATATCTTCTGGCATTCTATCTGGCATATCTTCTGGCATTCTATCTGGCATATCTCTGGCATTTTATCTGGCATATCTTCTGACATTCTATCTGGCATATCTTCTGACATTCTTTCTGGCATATCTTCTGACATTCTGTCTGGCATATCTTCTGACATTCTTTCTGACATATCTTCTGACATTCTATCTGACATCTTTTCTGACATTCTTGCCGTTGAGGTCCGGCAGTGCCCACTGCGATCTGGAAGTCGCGGTTGAGGTCCGGCAGGGAACACTGGGCGTGGATGGTCGTGGTTGAGGTCCGGCAGGGAACACTGGGCGTGGATGGTCGTGGTTGAGGTCCGGCAGGGCACACTGGGCGGGATGGTCGTGGTTGAGGTCCGCAGAGAACACTGTGGATCGCGGGTCGCAGTTGGACGAGGAGGACGACGAGGAGGACGACGAGGAGGACGACGAGGAGGAGGAGAGGAGATGAGGAGAGGAGAGGAGAGGAGGAGCAGGCAACTGACATAAAATCTAACAACCCTCACCTGGCAGGTGGGGAAAAAACTCAACTTACCTCACTTAACACGTCTTCAATCAGGTCAGCTGTTCCGTGCCGTGCTGCGGCTCTTCTCTCCAAGAGTCGCCTTCGCAACTTAGGATCAGGGGCCCCAAAATACATACCCTTCACTTAAGAACAGAGAACAACATATTTGTACATGTCTAGTGTGTGTGTATATATATATATTAATATATTCTAGTATACATCCTGAAAGGCTGCGAGTATGCTTTGCAACTGCCAAGAAAAACTTGGTGAGGCCCAAGGCAATGGCGCATCGGTGGGATCCAGTCGCACCGCCATGTTCAGGTCCTGTCTAGATGATTTAGCCATGACAACATCTGAAAACTGGCGATTTATCATTCTTCTTGCGTGACATAGGTATGGTTTGTGAAAACTTATGTGAAACTAACTTAGAAAAGCAGGTACCATACTCGTAGGCTCCCTGTATCCTGCTTGATCATGATTCATGATTTACCCTCTGGTTATTTAACATAGCCATGGGAAATGGCCATTTTATAGATGGTTTACCTATTAAAAATGGTGATTTTCCATGGCTATGTTAAATAACCAGATGGTATCCATAGTCCATGTTCAACCCATCAGTTGATCATTTTCATCTCCCTGTCCTCTAGGGCTGCCCTTGCTTCACCCGCTTGCAGCCGCACGACCCCTCGCTGCTTCCAAGCTAGACCTTGGGAGCGTGGCGGAGCCTGATCCTGGGATGCAACTTGATGAAACTGGGGAATCATCATGGGCAAATCATAGCTGAGATATGCTGAGATAGGCAAATTAAATGATTTTCATAGCAACAAAGATAGGGAAAGGTGAGACGGTGAGTGTCTGAGATTTCGACCGCAGTCCGGTGCTAAAGCCACTGCCTGAAATGTACGTGGCCAATGGCAGTGAAGTAACAGCTGCGTTGCTCCTGCCTGGTTGCAGCATGAGATTGTGTGCCGCAAGTCTTTTCTTGCTAGGCTCAGCTGTGCAGCCTTTGCCTCAGCCATTCTCTCTCACTTCTGTGATTTGAATTCTCATTGCTAAGGATGCTAGCCATTAGCAACGCAACTGTGATGACACCGTGCAATGAAACTTCACAGGAAATCAAGAGTGAAAAACACACATCTGTTATCGGTTTATCTTCCTACAATCCATCAGTGGAATCCATTCCAAAGGTGTCGTCATGCTGCTAGCTCTCCAGGGTCCAAACCAAGAAGCCGGCCGCATCAGAAAGCGGTGCAAAAAGCACCGACCTCATGTCTCCCCTCTCCCGAACTGTGGATGACTGCGAGCACACATTTTCACTTAGCAAATTCTGAACTGTAGAGAGCAATGGGGGGTACGATGCCATTTAATATATTTGTATATGTGTATGATTGTATGTAATGGAGTGTAGTGTAATGTAATGGAATGTTATGCTATGTTATGCTATGTATGCATGCATGTATGTATGGTAAATAATATATTTATACTATCATATGATATGTGTGTATAGATATGAAATCCATTGTACGTGTGTAAGAAGTTGCTCAAACATCCAGTTCGTTTGACTAGCGTTGCAGCCAAGGCCAGCGCCCTACCCCTGTGGGACTGGATTGTCCCAGGCTCAGCTCCAAGGAGACCTCCAGTCATCACCATTTTTATGTGTGGTATACCCTCTGGTTATTTAACATAGCCATGGTAGCCATGGCCCATTTATAGATGGTTTACCTATTGAAAATGGTGATTTTCCATGGCTATGTTAGTCATAACCAGATGGTAAATATAAATATAAACCATTCCCAGTCATGTGTGGTTTATGACATTGGGTAAAACTCACATTACAGGTTTTACATGTTTTACTATGGCTTGGCCTCCCGTTGCATGAATTCAATCTCTGACGTCAAATACTGAGGACTGCACCGAATTGGATCGCATTGGTCGTGGGGGTGGGGGGAAATGGGCGCTGAAGGGGCTTGATGGTTTGGTTTCACTGGCGGGGCTGCTGGCTGGTGCATCACGGCCAAACAGCCACTGCTGGTAGCTTGGGGCCTCCACTTTTCGGCCACCCAGCGGGGTGGATCGGGCCGAATTGCTGGAGAGCGGCATGGCTAGATTCCAGTGCTTTATCTATGTATATTCATACACACGTGTCTTTGTATGTATCGAATTTACATGTACATATCTATATCTACATAACTATGTATATATACGTATATATTATGTTATGATTATGTATATACATACATATACACATATAGATACACACATAAATTACATATCAACACTGACATGGATTGTTCTGAAGGAGATTCATGGAAATTCAAACATTTTGGGGATGGTCAAAGGAGACACTATGTCTCTGGCAGCTGTATCTGCATGTCACCTACCATGCATTATGATCTCTAGCCACAAAAATTGGCAATGACTGGCGGCGAGAACCAAAATTGCTAAATCGCTCAGCAGCAAAATGGAAGCTCCGGAGATTTGTTTCGCATTTTGCAGTGGCCTTTCCAGTTCCATCTGTTGAAAACTCAGTTTGCTCATCTGCAAACGGACAAAAGTCACCCGTTTTCCAAAAGACACGCGTCAAGTGCTTACTGGTGGCCTCCAACCATCAAGAAAAAACTTGGCGACATCCATGCCTGTTCTTTGAACAAGGGGTTTGAATGGGGTTGATATGTTGATATTGAAGGCTGCATTGGGACAGGTGAATCGGTTGGAGAATCCTTCTGGAACCATTGCAGGACGACAGTGACATCTTTCCAGGTTTGGGGCCTATCATCTGAGACGTAGAACCGCCATAAAGCCAGGACAAGGCGCATGGCTGCGTAGACAAGTACCTCACAAAGGACATAACCAACGTAGCTGGAAACGTTGGTCAAAGTTGGGTGCCCCAATCTTGGATGGTTGACTACAAGAAAAAGAAAATGACCGACATATATGACATATCCTAGGTTTTGACTAAGACCTTTGTATGGATTCTGTCCAAGAATAGGGCACCCTCCGAACCAACTGCTTAATATTGCTTATTCATCATTTTACTTTCACATATCGATGTGATTTTCGGGGAACCTTAGGACATTTTCAGGGTCGGTATACAATGTATATACATCGGTATACCGCAGCATTTCAGACACCCGCCCTGTCCACGACGGCACGAATAGGGAAGCGTTGGCGAAGTATTGTCCCCACGTGGGCTCCGTGGAGTCGTCCCTGCAGCAGATAGGCTTGGCCGAAAATGGTGTGCCCAGTGGTTTATATTGTTTATCAATGTTTATCATGTTTTATCATGTTTCCGAATAAAGCGTCCTTTTTTTGGATACATCATTTTCAAGTATTTTCAGATACCCTCTGGTAATTTAACGTAGCTATTGAAAATGGCCATTTATAGTGAGTTTTCCCATTAAAAATGGTGATTTTCCATAGTTATGTTAGTTTACCAGAGGGTACCCAAATCATGTCACCTGTCCGCCTGGCCTCTCGCCTCCCTTGTAGTTTCGCCGTTGCCATCCGGGACGGTCCAGGCGTCGCCTGCCTTGCCTTGCTACCCGCATGTCGCTAAGTGATTCCAGTAATCATTCTTCAAAGCAAGGTCTTCAAAAATGAAAAGATAAACTTTGTATATCTTTATATATATATATATATCTTTATGTCATCTATCTAGATCTATCTAGGTACAGTCAAGCGATAAACTCATGCCTAACTTATGCCTGGGTCAAAACTTGCTAGTAGATCACCATGGAATCGCTGTTTCAAGAAACTCATGCCTAAGTCATGCCCAAATCTAAAAACACCATGGAATCGCGTATGTATGAGAAGAATGTTTCCACACTTGGGAAAATCAAATGTTCGCAAAAATCCGTCTACAGTGAAAATGGCCGCAGGAAATACAAAATAACCCGAGACATTGAACACGCTGGAAAGAAAAAGATAGAAACACCAACTAATCGCTACACTCACATCCAGTGTGACTCGGTATGGAAGAGGTTACTCTTGATGCTAAACACAACCTAATCGCAAGGTTTATTAGCAAAAACTATTCCAAAGACCAAATCCAAGAAAACATTGCAATCCCTATGCGTTTTACTAAAAAGGCACGACTTTTCAAATCAAGTGCTCCCCAGCTATTTACGATGATTTCCAAATTTTAGGCACGACTTTAGCAGTCAACTGTAGCAGAAAGGACACATGTCCTTTTTTGAGTCATTCTGAAACCATTCATGACCAATTAAGGGGCTCCAAAAATCAACATGGAGGATTCTTGTGAGCAGGCCGCCTAGGCAAAGGCGTGCCGGCTGGTAGTATCTCTTCGGAAAGGCCAACCTTTCATTGTGAAACGGCCACCATTCATCTGGCTGTCCAACATCCCCAGGTCTGCCTCCAACCTCCAGCACCAACGCGGAAGGTCTGGGGAGTCCTGCGCTTGTTATCAGACTATGTTAAACCATGTTAAACCTCTAGTTCTTCACAGCATGCTTGATCAAGTTTGGCCTAATTCGGAAAACAGTCTTTGGTTTCGGGACCATACCTCCATATCCTCCATGAATGGTGCGTTGAGTCTGGACATGTTTGGACATTTTTGAAGGGGATCCAAGTGGATGCCTTACAGTGACGGCTTAGATGGATGACAGTCAACATAGAAAAAATCATACTGGTAGGTACAGTATGGTACAGTACTGATTTACAGTAGTGCATCATAGTGACATAGTGCATCCAAGGAAAAAACCTGGTTACCCTCTGGTAAACTAACATAGCTATGGAAAACCACCAGTTTTAATGGGAAAATCCACTATAAATGGTGATTTTCCATTGCTATGTTAAATTACCAGAGGATATATTTGGAGTGCAATCGCTGGAAGTCCTTGTGGCCCAAGCGTACACTGCGCCCACGGTCGGTGGAACGAAACTTCCGAAACTGGCACGTAGTCTATCTCGGGATCAATGAAGGCCACAGAAATTCAACAAACAAAAAACCTGGCACTGGATACATACTGGATATGTTTATGATGATATATCTGGATATGTTTATGGTAAGACATCCAAATTCAGCCGATTTCCATCGATTTCCCACCTCTCTGCAACTCCCATCTTCCTGTCGCATGACCTTGACCAGCACTCTGACCTCCAGGCATAAGCAGAGCCAAACACAGCTACTGGACTCAGGATTGAACGGTTGTAATTGCGAACAAGGCATCGCCCCCACCTCTTTGGGATGCAACGCAACTGCAGCTTTCTGCAAGCAGTAGAGCCTTCGGTTGTCCATGGTGTACCTTGTAGGATTCCAAGAACACACGCACATTTCGTCAGTGTTCATACTTGTGTTTAGCTGGCTCATGCTGGCAGTTCCAACCACAAAAACAGCCAATTGGGATGATCCTCAAGAAGTTTTCTCAAACATAACATAGATTCGAAACTCTTTGGAACCACTAACTACTTGGAGGTCTCTCAAAATAGGAGTATTCCCAAATTATCCAAGTCGTTAGAATCTTTGGACCATTTAAGTATTCAAACAATCATGGGTTTTGGAGATCTCCCAGTTTTGAGAAACCCCCAAAACTTAGTGAGTTTTGTGCATCTTCCTCTCCGCGTACCACTCGCGCTCTCCGTAGAGTTCATTACCTTCTTCGTCGAACAACTGGGTCCCATCCTCGCAGCGCCAAAGACATTTCTGGTGACGGATTTGACCAACAAAAATGATGGTTTAATCCACCAGGGTGGAGATATTTAATGAAATATATAGGATACATATATTATATATACATATATAATATATATATATATTATATATATACATATATATATATTATATATAATATAGCCTGAAAATGGAGGGAATCCCAAAATGGCATTTTCAATTGTTGGGAAAATGATGACCAACAATGGGATTTTGGGGTGCCCGAAATCAAAGAAAAACCCATCTCTGAAGCCCAGCTGTGTCATTAGCAGACCTCTTTTCTGAGCTTGATCCGCCACTGAATGACCTCAATCTCTGGAAATTCAGGTTGCAGCAGCCTGGCTTAACTCACGAGCTGGCTGCTGGACGATGGCTTGGTCTCTTCATCGGGGATCATGAGGGAACCCAACCAGTGCTTTTCCATCCATGACTTAACTTTACAAATTTAACCAGTGGATTAATTAACCATCATGACTCAACCATCATGACTTAACCAGTGCTTTTCCAACCAGGAGGACAAAGCAGGACAATGCAGGACACATGGCCAGCACAATGCGGACCCGAAAACATGGCACCATGGCCAGCACACAAAATCCGCCAGTGAAACCACCAGTCAGACTCTTCTGGCACACCAAATTCCTGCGAGGAACAGCGTAGCCAGTCGGATGGAAAACGTCTGTGGCAGTAGCGTCGAAATGATTGCAAATGACGCGGAAACATACAGAAACCACGAACTTGAAAATCGGAAGAGTCGCATTGCACCTTGAGCCGAAGATCGTCGTTCTTTGGAGATATTCGGCTCGAACCTGGATTTGATAAAGGAAACAGGAAACATGTGAAAACATGCGCAGATTTCACCAATGACAAAGCCCAAATCAGCAACAGCATGCAACAGCTAGGCAGCATCCAAGGGGTCAACTGATAGATTCCACAGCAAGGTCAAGCGGTCGACCATCCTGCAACTTCTGCAAGGGAAACCGATCTATGCCTTCTACCGATTCTACCGATGTGATCCGACCTGGAACTCGGCACGGATGTGGTTCTGCGAGAAGAACATCTCAAAGGGGCTAAGTAGCCTTCCCATGTCAGGCATCTACTCCACTCATCTCATCTCCATTCCAAGTACAAACATGTCGTTCAAAGATGCTCAGTGACAAATAATGACAAACAGTGACCGCCGCCTGTTCTGATCGACGGTCAGCACATCCTCTTAACATGTCTCAACAGATTCCGACAAAGGTTTCGTGAGCCTTCTGTGCCCTTTGATGCATACTAGACGGTTTGCATCTTCTTTTTGCGTTGAAACTGTTCAAACTGCACCACAGAAAATCCATGACATGGCCATGGAAGTTGTGTTGCTCTGGATCGGTGAAACCGTCAACGGCCCGCATTCCAGTTCCCACGACTTGGATTGAATTCGAACATATTCGAACGACTATTTTGGATGCAAACAATTGGGTGTTTCTTAAATTGGATTAAAAATGGGGAATCCCCAAAACCATGGTTGTTTCAATACTATATAAAATGGTCTAATAACTTGGATGACTTGGGGTACCACCATTTTAGGAAACCTCTAAGTAAGTGCTTTCCTCGAAAACATCCAAGTGGAAGATGAACCAGAGTCCTGGCCATACATGTTGACAAGCTCCCCGATTGCTGCTTCAGCTGATTTGGCTGCAGCATTTCCTGCCTGCCACACAGAATCGCCTTTCAATCTTTATCTGTCAAATCAAGCATAGCAAAACATGGCGATGGGTCAAAATACTGGTAAACACCTCAAATAGCCAATACAGTAAATGGATTTCATTGGATTTTCATCCCCCCAAGTGTGGTAAGTTGTAGCTTCTTGCCCATCCCCAAATCCACTCCTGTGCTTTGGCAACACAGTCGGAATCGGCAGCGCCTGCGTCTTCAAATATCTTCGCCCCAACCCGGACGTTTGCCCAGATCCAAATAACAGACCCAAACAATATCACGTCCTTGTCACCTGAGGATGGATGAAAACACTTGCTATTTGCACCGATTTTGATTTTAGGTTTAAGGATTTACGGGTTTATATAGGGTTTCGGGTTTAGGGCTTTAGGGATTAGGGTTCTAGGGTTCTAGGGTTCCAGGGTTCTAGAGTTTAGCGTTTCAGGGTTTTAGGGTTTATTGTTTTGGAAAGTCAAAAAAACGCTAGCCGTACCCAGGGATTTATATATGTCAAAGGATATGCGGGATCAGCATGGTATCACACATAAACATCCGTAAACATGATAAAACATCACACAGCATTACTAAACGACGTATATATATATATATATATATATACAACACAATCAACAGAACCACCTCCACCACTGCGCTCTGCCTTCGCGGACCACTTTCCGAGCCATTGAAGCTCGCCTGGCGGTCTAGACCATCCTGCAACCAATTTCAAACATTTCAGGGTCAGCAGGGTCTGTGCACCGGGAACATGATGAACCATGATGAACCGCTGGATTTGGGGGTATGACCGGGTATGCTATTGTCAAACAAGGCCAAAATGGTGAAAAATAGACTTGGATGCAGTGACGTTACTTGGAATATGACACGAGAAAGGCACCAATTCAGCTTTTGCTTTGCAAGGGCTTCATGGCTCAATTTCTTGGAAGGACTTGCTTTGCTGTAACCCGCTCTGCGATAATCCAGACTGGTGTTTCTTTGCCACTTTGCTTTGAGTCAAGCCAAAGGGTGATTTGATCCAATGAGTGAAGTGACAGTTGAGGACAGTCCTACAAATCCTGCTCAGCGTCGCAAATCTTCACAAATCACGAGCTGCAAATTGATCAACGAGAGGACTTGAGCCACAACACGCTGATTCAGATGATCTGGAGAGGTTTGAGCAGTGTCGGCAAACTCACAGCTGTCCTTCAGCATATTGTGGTTCCACTGTCCAATACATGTGACCTGTCCAAACTGGCAAAGAACTAAGACTCCAATTTCTTCGTCCTGTAAAACAACGCTGCGAAATCGACATGTGCCTTTGGCAACATGCACGTTTGTGGCTTGTTCACAGTTGCAGCCATTTGCAACTGGACAGATCTATAAAACATCAACGCAACTTCAGTGTGTGCCAAGTGTGACAGATGCTCCAAGGTTTGAAACCTTGAAAGTTTCAGCAAATGATTTCAGTCAATGCAGCTGATCAGTTGGATTTCTAAAAGAGACAAGAACAAACTGGGCTTCATGCAGATGAAACCTTCAAACGCGAGCTAGCTTTGGCCTGGCAGAATGTGGCAGACAAAAATAGCGCAGAACTTCTGTTGGAATCTTCAGTCCATGTGGTGGGGTTCAGATGTCCGTGTTAGACTTAGTCTTGATTCATGTAGAAACAATATGACACATGATGAACAATGCATAGTGGTAGATGTAACAGTAGACAAGGCTGCTGCCATACGCAAAGTCGATACATGATAGAGCATCATCAAATCATGTGTTCACTTATCTGACTTATCAGTCAGGATGACTCCTGATGGACATTTGTCAGGTATTGATCAATCCCTACCTCAGCCATATTCTTGCAGTAAATGGACTTACTGTACTCCCTGCGACTTACTCCCTGCCTTCATCTCATTTTCCCGCTCACGCGCTTGAAGCCATGCTGCCCTGCATTTCGCATAAACCGTTCACATCCTTAACATCAACTGTTCAGACGGTCAGATCCGAAGAAACACATCCTGCAAGCCTCTTACAATGTACAATTCCTATATAATTCCAAGAAATTGAATTGGACACCCCTCCAAAACCCGACTTCTATCCCCCATTGATTCACCCCCAATATGCCTTGCGGCTCCATCTGGATCGTAGTCGGGAAGCCATTCAGGACTCCGAGGCCTCACGGATCAAACACCTCTGTGGCAAGGTTTACACCATCTCTGGTCATTTCAATGACAGTTTGTGGTTTTGGGACCAACCATGGTCTACCATGGTCTACCACATTCCTTCTACTATGTTCTATCTGATTCTATCTGATATTATATCTGTTTGCTTTGAGAATAATCAAGCATGCAGCCCTCATTCTTGGTATGAAAAAAGAAATGCCAGGGTGATTCTTAGCATCTCCCGGCCTATTCTTGCTTGCCTCCCGTTCACCTCCAAGTCCAGGTGTCGCTGACACTATGACACAGCAAGATAGAAAGAAACTACATGGCTCTGTCCAGAATGGTGTACAGTACACCAGGTGGCCATATTTTGTGGGAATGCGGAAAATGATGATAAACCATCAAGCAAACTATCAAACAACCCCACATTGCTCCATGCCTTAGTGGACTAACTGAGCTACTAGTGGCCCGTGGCAATCCAGCCTCTGCTCTTTGCGAAGCCGGAGATTGAATGCGCCGCAGCGGCTAAGCCAGGGGTGAGCAAGTGGGACCATGTATGGTGGAATGTTAAGTGAGCAATATATACAAAATGTCCAGAATTTATCACACAATCGTTGCATCATTGAGCAACACCAAGTGTGTGACGCCCAAGACGCTTTTCGCGTCGTTGAAGCGCAGTAGTCTGCCCGACCTTTGCTGTTTTATGCTCTCCCACACATCTGTTGGTCAATACTGTAAGCCTGGAGGTAGCACCAATGCGCTTGGCTCCAAGCAACTGCCTTTTCCCAGAGTTCTGAGCGAGGCAGGGTACGGTACCTGCACAGTTTCAAGATGTTTCAATCGTGTAAATATCTACACGATCCACAAGAAAAATGCCATGGTTTCCCACCTCCCAAAGTAAGATGATTCACATTATGTCACAACATCCCGGCACAGAAGACTGAAGAGTCTGGAAACGTTCACTTCCAGCCTGGGTCCTAAGAGAGCCATCAGATCTCCGAGGCGTTCAATCATATCTGGCCTGACAGGCATCGACAGGCCAGGAAGAAAACAGCGCAGGCAATCCCAAGCTCCGCACGGATCGCGTGGCCGCAGTCCTTTCGGCTGGGTGCCAGGCCATGTTGGAAAGAACATCAAAACATGGCAGAACAGCAGGGGAAACCATGGGAAACCTATCAAACACATATCAAAGTCCTATCAAAGACCTTCAAAAAAAAACATCATCCAGATCTTCAAAAAAAATCATCCACCAAATCCTATGACATCATCCAGATCGACTCCTCCAGCCCAGGTTGCTCTCAACGCAGCTGCATCAGCATCTGCTGCTGCCAAAAGCTCATCCTGGCCACTGAAATTGACCACTGGGGGATGTTGCGGTATTATGTAGCATACCCATGCATACCCCATAAGCAAGATGTTTGGACGGTATATTATCTCAACATCGTACAGTGCCTCAACCATATCTCCATTATTATATATTCCTAGCTAAACATTGCATACATATCATACACACACATATATATATAAATATTATATATATATTATGTTATATTATATATATAATATAATATAATATATATATAATATATATATATAATATACAATCAAGTTCATGCAACGCACATGTGAACACATGTGCTCCACCCCAATGCAGCGGACCTCTCTGTTTTGACCCCGAAAGACGTGGGTAGTTTGGGGTGCATGATCGATCACTGGTCGATCTGCCAGGATAACATCGATCAAATCACAAAATGCAAAGAGAGCAATGAATCAGCTCGATTGAAAATGTGAGCAATGAATCAGCTCAATCGCAAATCAACAACCCCAGAGCAAAACCAACGGGATCTGTTGAAATTGACCCACTCTCGAATGCTACATTAAGAAAATCATGGGAACTATCGGTCGCACGGATCACACAGCGCCGGCAGTGACCGACATCACGGATATGCTGACAGCAGCTGGATTCATCTCGCGTAGATCGCGCGCAGCAGCAGCCTCGATCGCAAGGCGCGGCTTCCGCGCAAGCAGCCCCATCCATGAATCAATGGAAATTGGAGAGTGTGGGGGATCAGCCCCCACCCCGGAAAAAACCAGGGTGGGAGTGGTGGGAGCTGAAAATGGAGAGGATTGATCAATCTTGAGCCAAAATGGCATCAGGATTGATCAATCCTGATATGCTCAAACGTGATCACTCTGAATGATTGAACGATCGTTCAAACTGCACTTCTCAATTGCATCCTGATCTTTCACAAAATAAAATGAACTCTTCGCAATCGCATCACGGATCTTCAAAATAAAATGAACTCTTCGCAATCGCATCACGGATCTTCCTGAAATAAATAAAATGATCATCCAAACTCAAATCAAAGAATCAAAGAGAATAAACACAGAGCTGCCAATGGTGTGGGAATGAACTAGAGATTGCCCCACTTATCCCAACCTACCAGACTGTAGATAAGTGAACCAATCAAGTTCATGCAACGCACATGTGAACACATGTGCTCCACCCCAATGCAGCGGACCTCTCTGTTTTGACCCCGAAAGACGTGGGTAGTTTGGGGTGCATGATCGATCACTGGTCGATCTGCCAGGATAACATCGATCAAATCACAAAATGCAAAGAGAGCAATGAATCAGCTCGATTGAAAATGTGAGCAATGAATCAGCTCAATCGCAAATCAACAACCCCAGAGCAAAACCAACGGGATCTGTTGAAATTGACCCACGCCGTTCAGAGGAGAGGAAAAATGGGATCTACAGTTTTCCATCCTAAAGACTCACCTACATCCATATGATTGCGCGATGGAGGATCAGCGGGATTGGCATCAGTCGGAACTCTATCGACATAAAGGTTGACTTTAAGATCTAGAGCAATTTTCCAAAAGACACCTACGAGCTCACAGACGTCTTCACGGGCAGAATAGCCCTTCATTAGTGCTCCTTGAACAGGTTCAGAATCGACCAAAAGGAGCGACCAAGATTCTGCCAAGTGAGTCGCGAACGTCTTCAGTGCCACGACCGTAGCAAAGAGCTCGACCATTGCGATCTGTGATTTTCTTGGCAACCACTTCTTGATCAGAGATCTATCGACCTCGCAACCAAATTGGAGCGGAACTTCGCCTTTCTTGAAAAGAACACCGCCGATCCACGGCTTCAGGGGAGAGCCAGGCTTGCCATGTGGAAAACTACCATCTGTGAACAGAACATAGTCAGCAGATCGCGGTCTTGTTTCAAGGATGGGCCGGGGCGGTCCCTCAACAATGAGCCATCTCCAGTGTTCTAAAGAAAGGACGATCGCCTTGTTCAGCGCAGTGTGGTTGAACTTTGTACATTGTCTTTCTGACAGTGATCGCAAAAATGCTCTTCCAATCTTGCCCCAGAGCTGGGACGCCCCGAACATCAGCTTGCCTCTGAGCTTGCCTGCTTGACCTGGTGGGAAAATTTGAACTTCCAGGATCGCGTCGATCTCTTCCAGGAGCTCATCTTTCCGCGACGGCTTGATCCTGAGGTGCATGGCCCTCAAGTCATAGGTGACCCCTAGTATAGTAGGGTCCTGGCACAGCTGGAGCTTCTTGGGGTCGAACTGAGCGCCCAACCACCAGTGAACTTTCTGGGCAACGTCAAAAGCCGAGGAGCAAGTAGCTTCTGGTTCGAACCCGTACTTGTCATCGTAAAAGTTGAACGCGGCTACCAAGAACAGGCGCCTGAGGACGTCCGTGATCGCCGCAGACCTCCTGTTGTAATTATAAACAGCAGCCACCAAACCAAAAGAATGACCTATCATAGCGAAGAAGGCGATCTTGCCAGACGAAGGCTGTTTCAGAGCGATCACGCTCCACCTTCTTTGTTGTGGCAAAACGGCGATCTGGCGGTAAGCCTTTCTTTCGTCCAGAACCCAGCCCTGAATGTTGGAGCCGGCTGAGGGAGCTCAATCTTCTCGGTGATGAACGTGGCCATGTTGACCCCGTTCACTGTGGCACTATCCACTCCCCTGACCTTATTCTTTTGGACGACCTCAAATCTCTGGGTCGGGATCCAGCTCGTGGTTCCCAAAAATTGGCTGACCTCCTCAAACGAGAACATAGGTCCAAAAGAAGACCCTTCGCGCACATCCTCCATAGTGGCTTCTCAGATCTTCTCGGTGTTCTCGGTGACCTCGCATCTGTTGACATTCTTTATGACCTTGTCAGAGAACTCCCAGGCCCTGTTGCAGAGCTCGTCCACCGGGAGGAGCTCTTCGGCATTCTGGATGCGAGACCATCGCCTAGAGCGCTGGATCGAGCCAACTATAGGAAACCCTTGCAGTAGATCCGACACGAGTTTGTGATCAATGCAGTTGGCCGCCTGGAGCATCTCGCGCCATAGAGCTATGTGCGTGACCTTGCCGAGCTGTGGGGCTTGGCCATCAGGTACTCCTCGCAACAGGCGGCGCAGGTGCTGATCAGGCACTGCGCAGAGGATCTTGTCAGTCACGGGCAAGAGCGCACGTGCACGAGCTTCCCAATACTGTAGAGCGCCTGATCTGTGAGCGAGCACATGACCCGGCTGTGTAGCAACCATGGCGAGCGCCTCTTGTAGATCTGGCTCAAGGGCTGGCTCAAGGGTGAAGGGGTGGCGAATGTTCAAGGCTGCCTTCACCGCCTGGCCTGGCTCAAGTTCCACCGCGAGCAAAGGCGGGAGAGCCGAGCGCTTGAGCTGGTAACCAGCAGCAGATGCTTTCTCAGCAGTGATCTGCTGCTTGTGAGGCTTCCAAGGCAATTCCTGGCCGACCGGCCGCTTTCGATCCCCAGGGGCCGTGACCATGTCGAAAGTCGCAGCCAAAGGATCGGGGGTGGCAGGAAAGATGGCCGCCGCCCACGCACTGCACAGCGCGGGGGGATAGACTTGCGCCAACTTCGTCTTGTAGACCTTCTTGTTGTCGATGATCACTGTGCCGACGAGCGGCTCGTGGACGTGAGGACGAACATCACTGTCGCACTCAAGAGCCAGAGCTTGAAGATCTGCCGAAGAAAGCAGAGCCGTAGGCTTCTTGTGAGGAGCTCCAAAACGGCACATATCGAGCACAAAGCACCTAACCCCAGGCAGCGCTGCTAGAGCTTGCATGGGGGGCATTGCCCACAAGAACGAAGTCGCTGGGTTTTCAACTGACCATGGGATCCCTCGAGCGTGGCACAACTGAGCCAGCTCGACAGTAAGCTTCAAAAATCGGTTGCCCATCTCGAGCTTTGTCTGATCCAAATCGCTGAGCCCGTGGCGCCCCCACAAATGCTTCCGATCACGGAGCGGCGGGGGTCCGCCATCGTTTTTTCGAGCAATGCTAAAAGAAGAACATGGTGTGCCAAAATGAATAAAAAGGATCAGCTTCTCCTCGATCAAAAGTTTCACATGGCGAAAAACTGCAGGATCCAAAATGTCCACTGGCTCCAGGACAAAATTGTTGGGTGATATCTCGATGGGGGGCAAAATCCGCACCCCGCGAGCACTGACGGCCTGCGAGAGCCCGGCCTCCCCAGCAAAAATTTCTAGAAAAACTGGCCCTGTCGGCCGCTGCATTGAACCCCAAAAAGGTGAAGCGAGAGCATTCAGGGCAGATCGCCCTTCAACCGCCTCCTTCACCGGGTTCTGCTGTGTAGGCTGATCAGCCGTTCAGTGATTGCCCACCATAGAGTGGGCGGATCCGCACACCATGCAAAGGTGCTTAAACCGGCACTTGTCGCCCAGAGCGCAGCCCATAGAAGAGTTGAAGTAATGGCAGCGCTTGGGGCCGGAGACCGCAGAAGCCGCTTGTGAGATCGTCTTCCACTCAGACTCAGGGATCCGCTTGTCCTTGTCGACCTTGGTGTCCTTCTTTTTGTCGAACTGGTCCTTACGGACAGGCTTGACCTCTGCGGTGTCCGACTTGTTGCCCTTGTTCTTGTTGCGCTTTCTCTTGCGCTTGGAAGGTGACTGAGCAGCAACAGCGGCTTCGACCACTTGATCTTGGGGGTCAGGCCGTTCTGGCTTGGTACGATCTACCCTTGCCAAGGCCGCCTTGGTGCGAGCATCATTCCAAAGATACTTATGGTTCTCGAGGACCTCCAGCAGCGCCAGCTCAAAAGTGCTGTAGACCTCGCGCTGTTCCGCCTGCAGACGGTTGACCTTCTTCCTGATCAAGGAGTCGGCCGCGAGCAAATATGGCAATCCCGGGCATTCAGCCCGGAACTGCTCCAGTTCTTGCATGTACCGGAGAGGTCCGGCTTTCCTTGAGTAGGTGCAAATGTGCAGGTATTCCAGAGCCATAAAGAAAGCGTGAACCCGATGCAACAAAGTGTGAACATCAGTGACCTGATCAGGTTCATCTGCCTTCGAAATGGTGAGGAGATCCTCTGCATTCTTGGTGAGGCCGGACTTCTGAATGATACTGTCGGCCCTGGTGCGGATCTCAGCCACGGTGTAGAACGGCACCATCCCATGGACCAAGAAGTCGCGGCTGAGCTTCTCCACGAACTTCTTATGTGGTTCCTTAGCATCCAAGAGGATCACATCGGGGTGCGCTGTGACAAAGCGCGACCTGAACTCTGCATGATCTTCTTGAGCCATTTCAGGGATTTTGGTGGGATCCTCTTCCATCCTGGCCCGGCGTGTGGCGAACTGCCCTTGTAAAGCAAAGCAGGAATGCCACACTGCCGCGAGCTGCATCAGCGAGAGCTCCTGGGCAGCAGCATCGGTGCCCAGTGTAGCTGTTGGGAGCAGTGTCTGCAGAGATGTCTTAACGGCTGTCGCCGTGTCACCGAGCATGGCGAAGACCTCCACACTGAGCAGCCCACCATCAGCAGCCGCGCGGCAAAGCTCAGATCTGAGAGCCAACCGCCCAAAGATCTGGCGCAGCGCGATCTTGGGTGTATGCGCCTCGTCGGCGTACACGGTGCGATCCACCATGATGCACACGAGCGACGGTGCTTGACACCAGGTGGGTTCGGGCCGAGAGCTGATAGCACGCAGATCAACGTGACCACCAACTGACGGCTTCGAACCTGCATAAACCAGTTGCGACTCACTGATCAGTCGCAAAAGTATGATCATGAAAACCTTCCAAAACAAAATCACGGAAATCATGTGGAGGAAAGGAAACGGAAAAAGGAAGAGGGAGAGCGAACTGGCACATGTGATCAATGTGGTGCAGCACGACGTCTCAACCACTTCATGAAACGGGGCGCCCAACTGAACTAGTGGCAGGACGGTTGATCACCTTCACTGCTGGCGGGCACTCCTTTTTCCGCAAGCTGAGCCTACAATCAAATGTCAGCTTTGGATTTACAAAATTGGCAGATCATGCCAGGTGCCTGTGTTCCTACCGACACCGCATCTGCCATTTTTAGTCTGCCACAGATCGAGGCGGACTCGCTGACCCTTCGGTCAAAAATATGGCAACGGAAATCACATGCCTGAAGAGCTTTTTCAGGCAGAGAAGCTTTGACGATGAACTCGATGACCACCGGTTCTGTCACCTCTTCGTCTTCTTCCTCCACAACGAACTCCTCCGGATTCGGAGTCCAGCTCTTCCGGAACTTGTCGGCCATCTCTTTGACCATGGCGACGGAGAGCTCTTTTCTTTGTCTGGCGTACTTCAGGACCAGCTGACTGGGATCTTTCCAGTTCGCCTGAAGACCGACGATCTTGTCGTCGACCCTGGCTTTCACAGCTTCAGCCAACATGGTGACCCTCATGGAGTGCCAGGTGACCTCACGCACTGCGTCTTCCAGCCCGTTGAGCTCGTTGACCGCGACCAGCTCGAGATTCCGAGCTTCCATCAGACCTTGCAATAAGAAGCTCTTGAGCCAAGAGAGCCCTCTCGAATAGGTGATGGGCGAAGGGTTGAACTCCTTCTCATTCTTGAGCTCGCCGATGAAATAGTCGCGATCAGTCACCATGGGCTGGAAGATCTCCCAACCCATCTTCAGCCACTCTGCGCCGGAAATAGAACACGCCGGAACTGCAAACCTCGTGCCCCGCTTCTTGCGATCCACTTTCGTCTGCCAGACCACACCGAGCAGCACATCATCCTGCATTTGAAGAGATGTGGGGGAGACTTGGACCCCGTCGTCGAACCTGAGCGAGGCATAGATCAAAATGAGAACCCACCACGTCATCACTGCCGCTGCTTTCCTGTTCTCAAAGATCAGGCGAGCGAGGAGCACCTCCAAGGCAACGATCAGCTTAGGTGGTAAAGGAACTGCTTCTTTGAGCTCTTTGCCCCGCTCAGCGTGGACCTTGTCAATGAGAGCTTTGAAGCGCGCGTCTCCCATTTCGGGGCACGCCATAGCCAGCCTCTTGCAGATCCAACCGACCGCATACTTGAAGGAGGGCAGAACTGCTGGGCCACACCCTTGGTCGGAGATGTGAATGGCGTATCTCATAATGGCCACGATGGTGGGTGGATAAACTCTGAGGCCTTGGGCAACAGCCCATTCCTCAAACTTTTCCCAGTTCCGAACATTCTGACGGATCGTTCGGAAGCCACCAGCTTCAAAGGCGAGCGCCTTCAAGCGCTCTGCTTCGGCTGGTTGCAGCCCTGCGCATTTGGCGGGGTCATTGATCGCTGCAGCCGAGCCGGCACGTTGGCAGATCTGCTGGAGCCGCAGGCCCCACTTCTTCTTTTCCCCGCATTCAGCTTCTTGAATCGAAGCGACCTCAATGCAGGATCCTGGGCCGACCGGCCGAGGGTCGAACGCCGTCTTCAGCGGCACCTCGTGCTGCACCTCTCCGGCGGGCCGTTTAGACCCAACCCGCGGCGGCTCAGCAAAGCCGTAGCCCAGATCTGCGGCAATCTCTGCGCGGACCTTCTTGGCCGATCTTGCGACCATCGCGGCCAGCAAGTTGACCATGTCAAGTCTGAGCAGCATCTTATCTAGGATCTCTTGATCGCCAGTAAGAGCCGGGAGCAATGCTGAGATCTTGGCATCAGGCGTCTCAGCGTCGTCCCCCGACAAGGCGAGCCAGTACTCGACATGATCAAGCCCAAGATGTCGCAGGACAGATCTAAAACAATCATCAAAAATGGGTAAGCACAAAAACCTATGAATAGAACGATCCATCCTAAAATCAAAGATGAGATCTACCTATGTGGCCGCTGAGCCGTCTTGATCAAACACTGCTGAGCGCCAACAACAATCAGTGAACTGCACGTCGATCGACATGCTGAGGATCTAGCCTGCAGCGCGGCACAATGAGTGAGATCCACTCTATTGGCCGTGGCAAGGTCCCGGGATCTGGGACTGGGGGGGATCTCCCCTATTATGAACACGCGTGAAAGCTCCATGGGAACGGATCAATCGACCATGGAGAAACCACACATTGTGATGAACATCAATGTCAAACAAGTGAAATTAAATAACAAGGTCAGGAAGCCACCCCTCAACCCTCATGCACGATCATGACCCTGGGTAGATCAACCAACAAGGTGCCATGAACATGGGGAGAAGGAACGACCAGTTAGAGAAAGTTAAGGGGGGATCCACACTTAGCTCGAACTGGGTCCTACGGGTGAGGGGGGCCTACATGAACAGACCAGAAATTAGGGAGGAATGGGGGGATCAACACAAACCGACCCGGGGAGCAGGATCCTAACCTACCGAGCTGGCTGATCAACCGGCTACAGTGGGCTCACCCGATCGGGTGTTGACAAGAAAAGACCCCCCCACAGCACTTCCCCCTCGCTGTCGCAGCCAGTGAAAGAACGAACACTGGGAGATCAGGACAGCTGAGCAGCGGGACAGAAAATAAAATCAAGTGAAAAATGAGCCACTGGCTTTTCTCGTCCCTATCGGACTGCATCGTGAAATTGAAAAACCACTCCGCCGATCGGCGCACCGATCTAGCGCGCGGAGTTGAAAAACTCAAGATCGATCCATCCACGTGCTGATGTCAAAGAGCGATTCAGAAACGATGGGCTCGACCAGGAGAGAGCGTCAGCCACCTTCAGATCATTCGGGCATCGAAGGCGAGAAACTCATTGGCCCCTGTGCTGCAGTCGAGCGCTGCATGTTGCTGCTCTGACCTTCACCATGCTGAGCCACTCCGCCCATCCCCGACTGACCAGGCTCCACCTCCTCGATCACGGCGGTGGTGACGTTGCATGCTCTGCGCATCATCTCCTCGGCAAAGATCGCCGGCGTCAGGCCAGCAGTCGAGCGAGCAAATCTACGGTCGTCCCGTGCACGATCGCGCTCTGCATCTTCAACATGGCATGCTTCCCCTTTGCTGAGCACATTGATCTGGCGCGTGCTGAACGAGCGCTGGTTGAGCTCCATGCCAGTTTGTCGCCTGACCGCCACCACAGTACCTTCGCCTGTGGGATCCTCCTCGTTCACCTGGACCGCCTCGCTGCTAGTGAGCCATGCCTCGGCTGTCAGAGAGGGAGGGCCGATCGGCGCTGGCTTCGACTCCTGATGAGTCATTTCAGCAAGGGCACGAACGGTCACCACTTCTGGAGCTCTCACAAAAAGCTTGGAGCGAGCTTGGACGTGGAAATTCCCTTCTTCCAGACCATCCACGAAGACAACCAAGGAGCCAACGTCGTCTTCATCCTGAGCCATAGACTTCTTCCACCAGCCTTCGTGAACTGCCGCAAGCTGAGCGAACTGCTCTGTCTGCTCTGGCCCTTCCACACGGGCCTTGTTTTCACGGACCGATGTGATGGTCCTGATCAATGTCGGACCTGAGATATGGGACACCGTGAGCCATGTGCCCGGTACAGAGGTGCGAGAGCACTTCAGGTCCATCCGGTTGTTGGCATCACGATAGCGGAACTCCAGCCTATCTGCATCGTTTCCGACCGCATCGATCGATGCTCTGGAGCACACCCGCAGCTCAAATCTCGAGCGAGCAGAGTCGCCCGCTACAACAGAGCCGCCCGGGCCCAGAGCATAGGTGCGGCCCCCACATTCAAAGCTCATGACCGACACCCTCCAACCAACGAAGACCGCCACCACGATCGACAGGCGGGGTTTTCCCTTGTTGACCTCCCTGACGAAGAATTCGTCCACGAACTGGGTCTGGACGGTCAGGTCAGTGTCGGATCTAAAACCCCTCAAGACCCAGTGAAAGAGGATCTCGTTGCCATTGTAGATCTTGATGTCGGTGTAGGATGCGGATGTATCCCGCAGCATTGGCCATGAAAATGGCTGGAATGCAGGATGGGAAAGGGCTTGAGCCGCACCTGCATCCCATCCCGCGCATGTGTTCCCTGTCTCGGCTTCCACGGCGATCGCCAAAACAGCTTTGATTCCATCCAGCGTGTAGTTGGCGAAGAGCGAGATGTGAAAACCCGAACTGGGAGGCATGACTTGGTCCCTCTCTGTGAGGACATTGATCGATGATGCCGCATTCGACATGATCTCACTGACCAGCCATGTCTGGAACGGCGACACCATACGATCGTCACGGGAGTCGACCACAATGATGGACGTGTCCTCCGCATCGTCAGTCTCTCCGATCGGCTCCAAGAACTTGGGCATCTGGACCACGTAGGGGTTATGGGCTGAACTCTGCCCGCCCCATGATCTGTATCCGTACCCCCAGTTGCCGCCACGAGCTTGGCCAGATCCAGTTCCGCGACTCATGGCGTGCGAGGGTGACTGCCCAGGCCCGAGCTGAAAATGGAGAGGATTGATCAATCTTGAGCCAAAATGGCATCAGGATTGATCAATCCTGATATGCTCAAACGTGATCACTCTGAATGATTGAACGATCGTTCAAACTGCACTTCTCAATTGCATCCTGATCTTTCACAAAATAAAATGAACTCTTCGCAATCGCATCACGGATCTTCAAAATAAAATGAACTCTTCGCAATCGCATCACGGATCTTCCTGAAATAAATAAAATGATCATCCAAACTCAAATCAAAGAATCAAAGAGAATAAACACAGAGCTGTCAATGGTGTGGGAATGAACTAGAGATTGCCCCACTTATCCCAACCTACCAGACCGTAGATAAGTGAACATATATATATATATTATATTATATATTATATATTATATATTATATATTATATATTATATTATATATATTATATTTATATTTATATATTATATATGAGTATATGATATAAATAATACAGATCATGATGACCTCCCAACCCCTGGTTGCTGAGTGTGCCTCTCGACTGGGAGTGCTGAACAGCCGATCTTCCTCGGTTTCCTCTCGCTCTGTAGCACCTGCGACTGCGACTTTGCCGGCGGCGACGGGCTCCACTGATCTCCTGCCTGGGAAAAATCCAAAGGCTGGCGAAACGATTGTCCTGGCGAGGCGGATGCAGGAAACCATAGGAAACTAATATAAAAGACATCGATCGGAAATCAGTGGATTTCCAATAGATTCTCCTCTTCTTCGGCGAAGCACGCCTGGGTGGAAATACCATTCAACATGCGACCCTGTTGAGATGAATATGATATACTGATATTGTACTGATATACGCCAAATCAAGTCAAACACTTTCCAAACCTTGCCTGAATTTGGACAAACCGGATGAACTTGTCGCTGCAAAATGATCTCCTCAGATCAACCACTATTCCGAATGACATCAACTTCATCCATCTTCCATTAAGTAAATATCTGCTTGTCCAAAAATAGATCAGCCCAAATCTCACAGTTCATGAAAGAAATATTAAACTTCTTGATTGAAAAAAATTCTATTATCCCGGTTTTTGGACAACCTTTGCACAAACATACAAAACACTCTTGACTGACACAGTTCGCCAAACACTTGGTCTCCTGGGGACTCCGGATGCTCGTGTGCCGGGACACCAGCTGGAGCAGACTGAGTCACTGCAGCCATCTGTCACATGGGATCGACAAGGATGGCCGCTGTGTTTGGCGTGTCCTTGTTGATTGTAAACTATCAGGTGCCTTTAGAAACAATGTAAGGCCGGAATGAGGAACATCTCAAATCTATTCAAATCTCACAACAGACAGAATGCAAAGACATCAAATTTGAGTATGGTTCAGAAGCATGGTGAACAAATGGACTCACAATTTTGGTGATCGTAGTCAGCCATCCAATTTTGGACGTCGTCACTACTTTGCCAACACAGCCGAATGCCGAATGCGCAGACACTCGAATCTATGTCAAAGGCCGAGTGGTGCCTGCTCATCTGATGGTGACGTCAATCGCTCAGACGCCCGCCGAAGCCGTGTCTGTGAAGCTGGCCTTCAGACACGGAGCTGCGCAGTGCAGGAACATGAAAGTGTGAGTGAACATTAACAAGATGAAACCCACGAACCCGAATGCTCACACGTATCTTGATGGTACAGATGTCAAAACACATGGTTTTGCAGTCACGCACAATACCTTTCTGCAATAGTTTATTTGAACAGTCTTGTGCATGTTTCGCTTGTTACCAGTCTGCAGAGTGGAGTGGAAAGTGTAGAGTGTGTAAAGTGTAGAATGCGGAGTGTAAAGTGTGGAGTATGGAGTGTAAAGTGTAGAGTGTGGAGTGTGGTGTGTAAAGTGGGGAGTGTGGAGTGTAGAGTGTGGAGTGAGGAGTGTAAAGTATAAAGTGTAAAGTGTGGAGTGTGGAGTGTAAAGTGTAGAGTGTGGAGTGTGGAGTGGAAAGTGTAGAGTGTGGTGTGTAGAGTGTGGAGTGTGGAGTGTAAAATGTAAAGTGTGGAGCGTAGAGTGTAAAGTGTAGTGTGTGGAGTGTGGAGTGTAGAGTGTAAAGTGTAAAATGTAGAGTGTAAAGTGTGGAGTGTGGAGTGTAGACTGTAAAGTGACGAGTGTAAAGTGTGGAGTGAGGAGTGTAAAGTGTGGAGTGTGGAGTGTAAAGTAAGGAGTGTGTAGTGTAAAGTGTGGAGTGTGGAGTGTAAAGTGTAGAGTGTGGAGTGTGGAGTGTACAGTGCAAAGTGTAAAGTGTGGAGTGTAAAGTGTAGAGTGTGGAGTCTAAAGTGTAAATTGTGGAGTGTGGAGTGCAAAGTGTAGAGTGTGGAGTGCGGATCTTCCCCCATAGACACGGCGACGCCACAGGAAAACGAGAGACTCGAGATGAGACCCATGGCTGCAGAAAAACGAGCATTTCGTGCGAGGCTTCCTCCAATTTTCACACTTTGTAGCTTCAAAATCGACGTTTTCCCACGAGTTTTCCTTAGAACCTGAAAATTTGCAACCTCAAAATCAATGTTTCGTGCGAGGCTTCCGTCAATTTTCAGCACATCGCACCAAATGCCACGCCTGCCACGGAATTTGCACCTTGTCGCCACTTGACGCAGCCCTGCCAATGCGATTTGCAATAAACGTGCTGCGCTTGCCACGAAAAATGACGATGGACACGTCCAAAGTGCTGCGCCTGCCACGAAAGATGCAACACATCTTCTGAAAACGTCGCAAAAGTATTGCGCCTGCCACACAAAACGACTTTCGACACGTTACAAAACACGTCTGAATGTCACGAAGTGCCACGCCTGCCACGCAAAACGAAGCAACGAGACGTCTGAAACCTCCAAAAATGACCACCTCTGCAGAACTTACCATAGGCACGGCCATATGGTCCTCACGCGGACGGTTGCGAACGGTTGCGAACGGTTGCGACCACAAACACAACGTCGAGCGAACACACCCTCAACCCCCAGACCCCCAGAGTGAAACGGGAACCCTTGCTACGCATTCGGGAAAAAACTTTCACTATTCGAAACCTATCATTAAAATCATCTTATTAGAATCACACTCTGCACAGAAAGTGTGATTGCATGACTATGCCCGCTCGACCCTGCACTAAAGCGTGTTTTGGAAAGTGAGGTGATGTAACAGCTCTCCAAATTTTATCAGAAATGCTCCAAGGAGCTTTGTACAGGAATGTCAATGCAGAAAGGTGAGCTGTGCTTTGTCCAAGTTCGCGCAGAGAGCCCGCATGCTTTCCCCTCTCATAACAATCCTATTGGAAAAAGCTGCAATGTCTCAGCTGCATCCAAGCTGTATGACAAGAAAGTTAGGAGGTCAGGAGAATGCTGCCATTGAGCTGGCCCTGTACACGGTCTGCCCAGTTGCAAAAGGAGACTTTACAAATGCACTTTGCTTGGCAGTCAGGCTACGTCGCTCATGGCAAAATTTCGCTAGAAATGTTGGAGTTGGCTCCAGCAGTTTGGTTTGAGTCTAAAGGGGTGGGTTGTACACCGCACTGAGAACAGTCAGGGGTGTGTTGCCAAGATGGTCTTGGCACCCACTGGCACCAGTTCAGGCATCCAGTTTTGGCACTTGTCATGACTGGTCCCTGTCCAGTGCAAAGGTTGCACTCGGGAGTGTACTGCCAGGAGGAAGACGGAAGCCATCCGCACCAATTTGCACAGCTCTTTTGCGATTGCCCTGCAGATCCTACAGAGCCGTTGCACTCGCCAACATACTGGAGAGAGCTCAATGGCACCCATTGGCACCAGTTCGGTTGTGAGAGTGCCTTCACTTTCAGACCTGTCTGACCTGTCTGACCTCTCTGACCTGTCTTATCGGGCTTGGAATCCAAGACCATTGGCTTCTCACACTGACTGCAGTCTGATGCATTTGCCCATGCCGGCCTCGAGACCCATTCACATCCGGCCTGGCATCCGTTCTGCAATGCAGTCGCAGGCACGGTCACTGACTGGTAGTGGGTTGAATAAAGGCCATAACATCCTGCACACCCTGAGGTGTAGCCCCAAGATGGGCCAGGTACCCACTGGCACCAGTTGGCACAGCCAAAGTTTGCATATCCAGGATAAGAGTAGCCACTGCATTCAGGCACATACTGTTGCGAGGCCAGAGGCACCCACCGGCACCAGTCAGGTTGCGCCATGACGGGTGTCAACAGCAAAGCCAAGACCTTCACACTCTTCATACTGTCCTTGCAAAGCTTGAAAGGTGAAGCGACGCAAATGATCCAGTGCTGGAGCCAAAGCTGCTGACCAACCCACCAACTACATACATGTACATAAATAATCATAAACATGCTTTGTTGTTGAACTCTCTGCACAAAACATGTGAAACATGCAACTCCAACGCCCATCTGATCATCTGGTGGCAGCACATCTATGTGACCCTCACCAGGTCCGCCTCTCGCTCAACGCGCCAGGGTGAATGGCAGGATGCATCATTTCAGTGTGCGACGCAGCGAAACCTGCTTTGTTCATCATGATATGTCATGTGTGGAGAACAAATCGCATAAAACGTGAACTATTTTGAGTGGCCCGAAAGATTATGTATATATATATATACACAATTATATACATCCAAATGCACTTCATATTGGGGGAATTAGCACCTATCCTCTCACACAAGTGTCGACCAACGAAGCACAAGAATGGTGTGCCCTGATTAGTCGAGTGGTGGATCCCGAAAAGCACCACTCCTCTACTACAGCTTTGTGGAACTTACTAAGCACTAAATGTCAAGGTTTCCCAAATGATCAGCTTCATTACATCGGCCACGATCCTTTACTAAAATTGTTGTATCTTACTTAGCACCATGTATCTTGAATCCTTGGACTTGGAATGCCAAGGTTGACGAACAAACAGAAAGAAAAAACAACGCATAGGAAGAAATAAATGGAAGAAAGGAAAAACATAACTTAAGAAGGAAAGAACAAGAGGAAGGAAGGAGGAACGAAGGAAGAAAACAGGATGAAAGGAAAGAACGTAAGAAAGAAAAAGAGAGCAAAGGAAGAACCACGGGTAGAATGAAAGACAGAAAAACATGATCCTATACAAAGAACTCTACCTCGAAGATCCTCACAGATCTTTCCCCTCACCCATGAGCCCGACCAAGGAACATGAATTGAAAGTAAACTTACAGTAAATTAACAAAAATCATTGCTTTTCCTAAGGAGTTTTCGTTTGATAAAGGAAAAGGCATTGAAAGTAGATTCAACCGAACTAAACTGGTTTCCCAAACCTGGTCGCAGCGAACATGGATTATTAATAGAGTACGCTTCAGTTATTTTGAGGGGGCCTTCGTACTAATCAGCATCCAACAGGAGAGTACAACACTGTGCAACACGAAGTGCAAATCGAGAGTGCGTCTGCGACACAAACTTTGCTGGAGGCACGAGTTACAGCTCGTCCTAGTGATTGAGGCAATGCCGCCGACATAGCCTGCATTGTGAGCGTCATTCAAACAGTGTCAGACTGCTACTCTCCATTCTGTGCTGCAAAGCCTCCGAAGTACTGGTTCGCAGGGCCGGGGTGGACCTCAAAATCAAGACTCATTGGTTTGCTCCACGTCCATCACGCCACCATCAAAATGGTAAGGATAGCAAACATTGTGTGACCTGTAAAAAGATGCAACATTTTCCAAGACATGGGTCGAAACCAAAAAACAGTCGCCATGGTAGCCTATAGCGAACCTCCACAGCTGTGACCCCCAAACGAACTTTTCTTTGGACTCTCTGGACTCGTTGGTCGGCTAGATACCTTGGACCAGACACTGGTTTCTTGAGGGATTCTCATGGATGTGATCATCCCCGAGATATACGATATATTGTGTGGATTTGGGTGGTAGAATCATGTATAATCCCTCTATAATCATCAACCAACAGGCCAGGGCCAAGGGTTTTGAACACTGCTAAAGTCTACTGTCACTGGATGTCAAGGTGGGGCTCGAACACAAAGGGTTAAATCGTCTTCGTCTCGCGCATGCTTCGCTCGAATAAAGTGTGCCTTCGTGCTGCTTAGTGTCTGGGAAATCCAGGAAAACAATAAAGAGTTTTAGAAATATTCAATATATCCGCCGACCCCTGCTGCGCAAGGGGGAGCGCGTAAGAGAATAAGAGCCACGTACTATACTACTACTACTACGACGACGACGACTACTACTACTACTACTACTGCTACTACTACTACTACCACCACCACTACTACCACCACTACTACCACCACTACTACCTACTACTACTACTACTACTACTACTAGTCCTTCTACTACTCCTTCTTCTACTACTACTACTACTTTCATTCAGTGAAAGCGACTCAGAAGGTGTAAGTTGAAGAGCTGGTTCCCTAGGATTCTCTAGGATTTCAGAAGACACGTTAGGGAGTTTTTTGCTGCGATTTGGTAGCTTCTCCGTCCTTCACTGCCATGGTGTTTCCCTGTCCGGGACCCACGTTTTTGCAGCAGCTAGCAGGCAGCCAGTAGTCAGCAGCCAGGAGCCAGCAGGCAGTAGGCAGCCGCCACTCACAAGGCACGAAGCCAGCAGCAGGCAGCCAGCAGGCAGCAGCCAGCAGCCAACAGCAGCCAGTTTGTTAGAGCAGTTTCATGCGACACGTTAGGCGGTTTTGGGTCATTTTTTTCTGGCTCATCCGTCCTTCCCTGCCATGGTGTTTCCCTGTCCGGGGCTGACGTTCTTGCGTGCTTTGTGTCGCTCTTAACGCGTCTTACTACCACTTGAACTACTACTACTACCACTACCATTACCACTACCACTACCACTACCACCACCACCGCCGCCACCACCACCACCACTACTACTACTACTACTCCTACTCCTACTCCTACTCCTACTACTACTACTACTACGACTACTACTACGACTACTACTACTACTACGACGACTACTACGACTACTACGCCTACTACGACTACTACTACGCCTACTACGACTACTACTACTACTACTACTACCACCACTACTACCACCACTACTCCTCCTACTCGTACTCCTACTACTACTACTACTACTGCTCCTACTGCTCCTACTACTCCTACTACTCCTACTACTCCTACTACTCCTACTACTCCTACTACTCCTACTACTCCTACTACTAGTCCTACTACTAGTCCTACTACTACTCCTACTACTACTCCTACTACTCCTACTACTACTCCTACTACTACTTCTACTACTACTCGTACTACTACTCCTACTACGAGTACTACTCCTACTACTACTCCTACTACTACTCCTGCTACTACTCCTACTCCTACTACTACTCCTACTACTACTCCTACTGCTACTCCTGCTACTCTACTTCTACTACTACTACTACTACGACTACTACTACGACGACGACTACGACGACGACGACTCGACGACTCGACTACTACGACTACTACGACTACTACGACGACTACGACGACTACTACTACTACTACTACCACTACCACTACCACTACTACTACTACTACTACTACTACTACTACTACTACCACCGATTTGGTAGCTTCTCCGTCCTTCATTGCCATGGTGTTTCCCTGTCCGGGACCAACGTTTTTGCAGCAGCCAGCAGACAACCAGTAGTCAGCAGCAAGGAGCCAGCAGGCAGTAGGCAGCAGCCCCAGGAGGCACGAAGTCAGCAGCAGGCAGCCAGCAGGCAGCAGCCAGCAGGCAGCAGGCAGCAGCCAGCAGCCAGCAGCCAACAGCAGCCAGTGTGTTAAAATTGTTAAAGCAGTTTCATGCGACACTTTAGGCGGTTTTGGGTCATTTTTTTCTGGCTCATCCGTCCTTCCCTGACATGGTGTTTCCCTGTCCGGGACTGACGTTCTTGCGTGCTTTGTGTCGCTCTTAGCGAGTTCATGCTGTGCTTCAATCATCAGCGGTTCGCCACTCTGCTCGGGGGCACGCGCGACCATTAGATTTTTTGTGCTTGCTTTGAATTCGTCCGGAGTCCTGACTCTTTTGTGCTTTGGATACAAGTTTCGCAAGTTGGACATGCGTGCATATAGCGCATTGTTGGACGAAGGACACCGTTTTCGACGCGGAACCGCTTCCCACGGACGCGGTGGTGGTTGATTTTTCCGGACACGATCGTCGAAGCCAGAGCACCGCTCCAGAAAGGACATACATAGGCAAGCGGCTCTCGATCTGCAAGTGCTGCTGATGACGCTTCTGGCGGGCAAACGGTTTCTGGTGCGTTTTTGGTCGGGTGTGTCTGTGAGAAAGGGGTTGCCGTGGTGTCACTGGCTTGACGTTTTTGGCTGCTTCGGCTTCGTGCAATCGCTTCCCAGGTGTCACCTAGAATCTGCCCGTGGCGGGCTCTTTTGCGAAGAGGTTCCAGTCGCGCTCTGGCGGACGTGGCAGCACGCTTGCGGATAGCATCCTGCACAATGGCGGTGCGGCATGTGTTGCACATCTGAGTTCCGTCTTTCCCAGAGGGCCGCTTGGAGATAAAAATGGAAAATAGTTGCTGGGGCTTCCGTTGTTGACAGGCCGTGCACTTCCAAGAACCACGAGTTTTGGCTTGGCATTGCAAGCACACTCTTCGTTTCGGTTCCCTGGCTTTCCATGCTGCGGTGACTGCGGTGCCGAAATATTCCTGCGCGACCAGCCCTTGTTCAGGGCTCTCCTTGTTCAGGAGATGCCCGGGGTCGGCGGCACGGAGGGGTCCGGAGCGGAAAAATTGGCATCTTGGAGGTCTTTTAACATAGATGGCCTTGGATATCGCCAACATAGCCCCAACATACGCCCCAAGATGGGCCAACATGGGGCCAACATAGGCCAACATAGGGCCAACATAGGGACAGGGCCAAGATGGGGCCACATAGGCCAACATAGGGCCAACATAGGCCAACATAGGGCCAACATAGGCCAACATAGGGCGAACATAGGGCTACGGCAGGCCCAACCTGGGCCCGAGATGGGCCCAACCTGGCGCAACATGGACCCAAGGGTCGCTACATAGGGCTCAAGACGGCCCAAGATGGGCCATCCTGGCCCCACCATCGTTCAAGATGGCCCAACATAGCAGCAACAACAACAACAACAACAGCAACAGCAACAGCAACAGCAACAGCATCATCATCATGAGCATCAGCATCATCATCATGAGCATCAGCATCAGCATCAGCATCAACAACAACAACAACAACAACAACAACCACAACCACAACCACAACGACAACGACAAGGACAAGGACAAGGACAAGGACAAGGACAACGACAACGACAACGACAACGACGACGACGACGACAACGACAACGACAACGACAACGACCACGACCACGACGACAACGACAACGACAACGACAACGACGACGATAGCAACGACAACGACAACGACGACGATAGCAACGACGACAACAATGACAATGACAATGACAACGACAACGACGACGATAGCAACGACAACGACAACAACAACCACAACAACAAGAACTACGACAACAACTACGACAACAACAAGAACAAGAACAACAACGACAACGACGATAGCAACGACGACTACAATGACAACAACAACAACAACAACAAGAACTACGACAACAACTACGACAACAACAACAACAACACCAACACCAACACCAACACCAACACCAACAACAACAACAACAACAACAAGAAGAAGAAAAACAACACCGACAACGACAACGACGACGACGATAGCAACGACGACGACAATGACAACAACAACCACAACAACAAGAACTACGACAAGAACTACGACAAGAACTACGACAAGAACTACGACAAGAACTACGACAAGAACTACGACAACAACTACGACAACAACAACAACAACAACAAGAACAAGAACAAGAAGCACCACCACTGACCACCACCGACCACAACAACAACAACGACTTCAGCAACAGCAACAACAACGACAACAACAACCACCACAACAACCACAACAGCAACAACAACAAACAACAAGAACACTAACAACGGCAACATCGACAACAACGACACTCGTAGAACTGGTCCGCATAGTAGTTGTAGTCGTCGTCGTAGTAGTAGTAGTCGTCGTAGTGGTAGCAAGACTACTATAGTCGTAGTGGTCGTAGCGGCGGTATTCGTGGTAGTTCTTGTAAAAGTAATAGTAGTAGTAGTAGTAGTAGTAGTAGTCGTCGTCGTCGTGGTAGTGGTCGTAGTAGCAGTCGTAGTCGTAGGAGTAGTCGTAGAGGTCGGCACAACAAGCACGCACGTCCGGGCATTTCTCTGCCGGCGCCCGGCTGTCAGGCGTAAGCCTTTAAATATATATGTATATATGTATATATATATATATATACTGTATATACGTATAGAATCGTATAGAGATAGATTTCAATGTGCACATTTGACAACACAAGATTCTCGAAGGTGCTGTGAATACTTTCTACATCGTTCTACTGGAGGCACTTTGCTTGAATGAACTTGAATGGCCAAAAAAAAAGAGAGGCCTGAAGTTCCTTCTCGATGAGTTGAGATTTCTGCTTTTTGAACTCGACCTGTCTCGACTTCGGCGAAGAACTGCCATGCTAAGCGGAAAAACACCATGCTTCACCTTCCGAAGGCCACATTTTTTGAAGTGTCTTGTAATCCTTAGCGCATCTTTGCACGACATAGCACGACATTTTGACGCACTGAATATCACTGAATGCGGATGAAAAGCTGCTTGCTGGATCTTGCTGGTGCAAATGGTGATGGGCTCCAAACTGATTGCTGAGCTTCGTTACTTGCACGCTTTTGGAATCGTCAGGCCTCATGTGAGATTTGCATCGGCTCAAAGTCACTCAAGATCATCACACATCCATCCGTTCAATTTTAGGAGAGGACATCGCGGGACATCTGCTTTTGAATGGTTTTGAAGTTTTGACACATCAGTTGATCAATTATTACCATTGATGCGTCTTTATCGGCGACAACATCACCTCATCAGTCCAAACTTACCACTTATATAAATCATCTTGAATCAGACCCTGCTGTTGCTGGCTGCCACTTTTGTCATGCAAGTATGTAACCTGAAGATTAACCATGAGAGTCTGGGGTACCCTGTTTTCATACAAACCCATTATCAGCTTTCAACATCCACTTGTTCTTGGCTCCTGGCCTAGCTGGCGCCATTGAGCTGTAGCCTTCCATCAAAGCTGCAGTTGCACGCGGCTATCTTTGGGACTTTTTGGTGCTACCTACAGTTTTACTTTTACATACTTTTACATCTTTTACTGTACTGTCTCCTGGCACCTCCTGGCCCCCAATGTCGGACGGTCCTCAACTCAAGCCGCACTCATCGGTAGCCGATTGGAAGCGGCGCTGTCTCACCCCAGTTTCAGGGGCATTGAAAGAGTTTAAAGCCGTCGTGACAAATCAGATTTACAACTTATCTGACATGCTTTACCCCTTAAACAAGCGTGTCTAGTAGTTCCCAGATGTTCCCAGTATCCTCGGTACAATAACCCCCATCCTCTATCCACCCGCTAAAAATTGAGCCAAAGTAGAAATATGCCAGGCATATACCACATCCAAAAGCTTTGTGAGACTTCCAGTGGCTTCCAGGTCCATTCTGATGGAGGCTTGGGTGCTCTTTTCCGCTGTCATCTCAGCTTGGAAATATCTGGTAAGCAGGTGGAACCTGCGAGGACCAGCAAAAGTGATGTTCAATTCTGTTCCAGAATGAGAAATAGCAGGATGATGCAGGATGCATAAGTCACACAAGACCCTTGGAGCTTTAATCTGTAATGATCTTTCAGCCTCATCTTGGCTGAAATTCCAGGCGGCCACAGCCTGCAGTGGGAAACACAGTGTTCAGATCATAGGAAGATTGGATAGGAATGGTGCAGGCAATATACTGATGCAGAAGACACCCACCTGTACCGAGAATCAGTGCAAATTGAAGCATGCATTTTTCAGACACTGGGGATACGGACAAGAGTCTGGTAGAAGTCAAGTTATCCCAGCTCCAATGGATCCAGATCCACAAACCTCCCATGGCCTTACTGAATGGCTCCAATTCCAGTGGGCAGCCAGCAGCTGCACCTCTGGAGCACCGGAATCAACAAATCTGATTTTTATCATTGGAATCCATCAATCCTGCAGAAAGCCTGTTGCATGCCGCATGCCAACTTTTTTTGTGGTAGCCTGGTAGACTCACGCGCTAAGTGTACATAATTAGTACGGAATAGTGCCAATTCACTGCGAGGGTGCACCCTTGAAAGCGGTCACTCTGTCCTGCTGGGAACTCTACTCAAGAAACTTTCCTTGACGCCAGCGCTCACACTGGATTCCTCCACCTTTGCCACAGAAAGAACTGGATTTGGTGTTCCGTTCATAGGAAAACATAGGAAAACTACTACTTCACTGCTCTGTTTTGCTGGCCTCACGCTGATATCTCCACCGAAAGCAGTCGAATCCAAACGCCTGAGCCGCGTAAAGGCCCCGTGGCCCCGTGCCGCAGAAACAAATGCAGTACTGAGTTCCTGACCATTCGGTGCGACTCAATTGCCGATTTCACCTCAGCTCACAAACCAGATGTGGGACTCATGTCAGACTGAGACCTCCCTACATTTCCCCACAATAGCAGTAGCTTCAGGTGTTGCAGGTTGGTTGCCAAGTGTTCCAACATGTTTGAAGTGTTCCAGGGCTCTGGCGTACTGAGATGCATCAGCTTTCATCTCCAGGGCACATAGAGCAGCCTATGACTGACTGCATCGATGAATTTTCCCACCGCTTTTCCCCATCGGCCTATTGCCTGTGTAGCAAACACGGCCAGTGCTTCATCATAGGGGGGACAATGATGACAAGCGAAAGCTGCCAGCTGCCGCCAAGTCTGCACAGGAGATCGGGCTACAGTGAGTGATTCACACACAACAAAAAAAAGGTTCACATAAGCATGGGCTGCTGAAATCGGTTAAACACATCTTGGATCGGCAAAGCCTAACATACAATAGCACACACACACACAACGCAAACTAGTTCATTCTATGTCAGTTCGTCCTGCAGTGCTTCTTCCCATCGACCCAGCTGCATCAGAGCCATGGCCTCTATTTTGTGGGGATGTGATGCCATGCTGGTCTGTCATGGTCTGTCAGTTTCTGGATGTTTCTGGTAAATGTCCAATATTTTCTCCATCAACATGGCCATTTTGATCCATTTTGTGTATCCCCATCGACGAAGCCTGATGAACCCGATGCCTGAGCGACTCGTAGCTCTTGCGCATCCTTCCCCAGCAGCACGGTGTTCTTTTCCGATTTTTCCGCGCCCTTCGTCGCTTCTCCGGCATCCTCCTCGTCAACCTCTGGTGGTTCCTGCAACACATCTGGGTACCCAAAAATGCATCACAAAGTCTTCATGTGAGGGCTGTGAGGGAGTCAAAATAGTCAAATGCTAAGCGATGTAGTAACTTGTAACTTGTTGAATGATCTTGAGTGCATGTTGTATTGATGCGAATTGGCAATCGCCTAGCTGACTTGTGTTGGATACGTCTTCCACCCAACTCCACAGAGTCAAGTTCTCCTGTTTGCGGAACTGCCACTATGTCCCGGACTCGAACATATCTTGTGGTTGTAGCTCAACCACCCAAAACATCAATTTGATATTACATAATATATATATATATGTTATTTTTAATATATAGTTATATGATACTATGGTATCATCTCAAGGCACTTTCTCCGACTCTGGAAGTTGAGTTTGAGCCTCCTCAGCATCTTCTTCGTCATCCATCTGCCCTTGCAAGGCTGCAGCTATGGTCTCTACACGCTCCTGGCGGCCCGCAAACAAGGGGAACATGCCGTGCGTCCAGGATGTGAATGAACATCTGATCCAACAAACCAAGAAGACCTCGGGTGGAAGTAAGGAGAGCTTCGCTTGGACCGGAGCATCCACTCGCATGAAAGTCCTTCACCGGGAAGACTCTCTGACAATGGCACAACATGGCACAACTGGATTCGTTGGTGTCTGATGTGTCTGTGCTTTTTGGATCTTTCTGGTTCCGTTTTGCCAGTCCTTCTGCCGGTCTTCAGCCTGGAAAGCCGGCACATGAAACTCTTCAAATTGCAAGCATGGCGACTCTGCAGCTAAGGCCGCCACTCAGGTGGATCATCCAAACCACATGGTGGACAACTGCATCCAACACACTGCAAGTTGCAAGGTTCAGGGCGGTTTACAGCTGAAAATGAATGAACATGAACATGAACATAACACCAAACTGTTGTCCGACCTGCAAGTGAAGTCCCGATTGAGAGACCTGGAACCAGGCGAGCACAGCTATGGCACCATGTGCTTGAACCAATCTTACGCTTTCAGAAGGTTCTTAGCGTCTCTTAGCTGCAGGCTGACTTCGCAAACTCTTTGGCGCTCGAAGCATCTCTGACCTTTCGAATGGGAGGTGTCAAACAGCTGGATGCGGCTGGCGCAGACGTTTTCAAACCTGCAAAATTTGGAGACATCCACCCTGACTTGTCCCTGAAAAATCTGCCCGGACTGAAGGTCCTGAGCAGCATATGAACACCTGGAAAATCATGTTTCCTGTGAGCACCTACAAGCACTTTAGCTCTAGCTAGGACATGAGTAGCTGAGAGGGTGCTCTTGATAGTGAAATCCAGGACAAATCATGACAATTCAATTCCATTATCCGCCTCATTCAATTGCGTTGTTCCTTCCAGAACAATATGTTGCTGCCCTTTCCAACATTTCTATGCAACCGTTTCAAATGTTTCAAGACCTTTTAAATCTGGAGAGCCAACCAGCCTAAACTTGAACAACAGAATTGGGTTGGAGCGGTGACTGAGAAGCATTTGTCTGCATTTTTTTCGGGATATTCAGAAGGACCACACCCTTTTTCAACTGACAGGTACACAAGTGACACAAATTGTGAACTCTGTTGCCATTGCCAAGACTGCCACTCAATGTAGGTGATGTGAAGCCTTGCTCCAGCAAATCTCTTGGATCTCAATGATCTCACCACGAAAAACACAATGTGCAAGCTGTTAATCCACAAACAGCTTTCCATTGTGTACCTAGACTATTCTAGACTGGGTCAAGTTGAGTGATTTGAGTCCCCAGCTCTGTTCCAGCTTCCAACTTTTGGTTGGTGACGAAAGCAGTGAGGTCACCAATGGAAAAACGCTGAACTGAAGGCCTTGGTAATCGCTAGATCCCACCCGACCCGTCCTATCCTCATATCCTCAGCGAATGTCTTAGCGCTCGACTCACAGGAATGGTTGAAGCCACTGGCCAGCGCAAACACTCCGCTGCCAGTAAGGGGAAGGAAGTTGCAGTGGTGGCCTGCGCTGGCTACAGGCATCTTGGGGATCTTTGGCAGCTTGGGGATCTTCGGCTTTGGCATCAAGGCCCAGGCAAAGCTGCTCAGAATTGGTGTAGAAACCCAAAGAGTTCAAGCCTCGCAAGTGCATTCTGGGAGGCTTTATGGGGCTTGCAAGACCAAACTCTGCACTGCAGAGTAGCTTTGTGGGATGGCAACATTTGAATATATTAGAATACATACACTTGACAGCTATGTACGAGTAGGATCTATGTAGGCAGGCACATCTGAGGTGGCGAACGCACAACATCTTGGAGTCGTCTCTTTGCAGATTCAGAAAGGTCAATCTGCTTCCATGAAGAAGCCACAGCATCTTCCATGGCAGTCAGTGCTTCTATATCCTCTCAGGGCATGTGCTCTGAAGACACTTGGAACTTGGAATCCTGTGAAATCGCAAGGATGAAAGATGATGAAAGTAAAGAATGTCCTCATCCTCACTGTCTGCGCTTGAAATTGAAGTTGGCTCCTGGCAGAATGTTCCAGGGTACCAGGGTACCTCTGACATCTCTGGGCATCTCTGCACCGTGTCCTTTGGATGGAACTGCTCCAGCAATGAGGCCAAACTTCTGGAAAAACTCTTGGCGAGCTCCATACCTGTTTCCAGGTGTGCATGTGCAGTGCTTGGGATTTCAATATCTACATGAATCTACATGATGTTTTTATATACACGATAAAATTAAGGACGCTTCAGCAACTTACTACGCTTGGCTTATTGGATCTGGTGTTTTCACATATCTGCCTAGGGCAGCAGTGTCCGCACTGGAGCAGTCTGCCCAAGGCTCATCCTCGAAACCCAATTTGCCAATGATCTTGACTGAAGAAATAAGTCCATTGCTTTCTTAAAACGACCTTGAGCATAGGGCCGCACTCTCCATTCCACATCTAGTAGTGCAACCTGCAGTACACTGCACTTCAGCACCAGAACGGAGACCCTCTTGCTCTCCTGACCACTTCGGAAAGGGTCTAAGCCTCTGACCAAGGGCCGCTCAACCAGAACGAGCGTCCCAGCTTCTATGGTCTTGGTGGCAAACCACCCTCTGCCTCACAATCCAAAAGAAAGCCATGTGCCACCATCACCTCCCACAAGAAACTACAGAAGTTGGGGTCAAGGATTAACTTTGAGCTGCCTTGCCTTTCCCTGGTGATTCTTGCAAAGCAATAGCGGACGAGACCTTCGAACATGCCAATCCAAAGCCGTTTCAGTAAATGAAATCTATGAAGTCCTTTTCTCGACAAGAACCCGAAAGTGAAGCAGTTGGACAATTGGTACGCGCCGAGCTGCAGCAAAGTGGGGTGATTCCGACATCTCTTCCGGCTTCTTCACAGCAGTCCTGCAGACGCAAGCCATCTTTAATCTTGCTTGTTAAGGAAATGCATGCAGTTTTTTGGTCCTGCCCAGTAAGTCAAACAGGGGCGTCTTGGAACCACTTGCTCGCAGTGGCAAAGCTTGCACCAGCTTCTGATACTTCAGTTTGTCAGCCTCATGGCTCTTCAAATATCTTCAAATGGACTTCATGCTTCCAAAATTCTTGCACCAAAGGAGGCCAGTGCTGAGGTGTGAGCCCACAGCGAAGGGGCTACCAGAGCATCAAATGCTTTCTGCAATGTGTTCCAATCGACCTGATTCAAAACTTCGTAAAATGGGAAGCTTTGTTCTGCGATTGTTTCCAGAGCATTTCGCAAGAACCGGCTTTCAGCAAAGCTTTTCAAAAACAGCTGCTTAGAGGAGTATCTGCTGGTACCCCGCCGCTGTACACAGTGGCTCTTTGGAATATATGTATATATATATAATTATAGATATATAACCTATGATAATGCCATTTCATAATTTTCATAAATACGGCACAACATAGTAGTAGTACAACATAGTAACAACATGTTGTACAACCTGTTGACAGAGCCTGAGAGCCATGCCGCTGAAGCGACATCTTCAGTCTGCCAACCCCAAAGGGCGTCACAGTCCAAAGGTGTCCGCCTTGGAATCCGCCCGACTGCAGGCCCGACGGGCCGACACAGAAATGCACAGAATGTATCACTGAGCCCAGGGCTTCAGTTGTTTCACCTTTTTGGAGACCCTCTTTGGGGTAGACTGCGGCATGGAAATTGAAGCAAAATCGTCGGACGTCTTTGAAAAAAACTGACTCTGTAAATCTCATTAAATCTCCTTAGCAATGCCACCTTGAGAAATGGAACAGTTGACCCTGACCCTCTACCAACTGCAAATGCCAGGATATTACGCCTTACGAAACAACCATGAAGTCTGACTTTGCTTCTGGGATGTAGGATCGTACATCATGCAGTATCTTTTCAACTCCAGACCTGTGAAGTGGCTGAACACCCAAGAATACCCGACGCAATATTGCCAGATTGCCATCTTATGGCTTGTATTCCAGCCAAAGATACAAGGACACCATCTGACCTTGCTCTGCTTCATCAAAACAGCTGCAGCTGAAATATGATTCCTGAGAGGCTGTTGCCATGCTTGAGGAAATCTGTTCCATGTGCTGTGCACCTTGGTTCTGTGGTCTACCACTGAATCTTTTGTCATTTTGGGGGTCCCTGCGCTTGTTGCGCAAGCTCGATTCTGGCTTTGATTTTCGCCAGGCTTTGTACAAATGCAAAGGTGGAAACTCTGCGTTGGTCGAACTACAGAGTGTTGGGATTCTCCCGCACTCCTGGATACTTGCTGGAGTCTGCGTATAAATCTAGTTGGTGTTTTTTTTGATGTTTAACAACATTTTGACTTTTGAGATTTTCTTCGATATTTCCTAGATGTTCATGCTATTCCCATCGTTTTTTTTTTCCTCCGGAACCTTGTCTACATCCGCAAATCACGAGATAGCCGCCTGCGGAGTGGTCCGATCAGGCTGACATCCTGCACTGACGACAGCTGCCAGCCTTCGACCACTTGGAGGTCCATTCTTTGCATAGCCTGGGAGATTCAGAAAGTGTGACAACCTTTGGTGCTACGGGATGCACATACAATCACATGTATATATATATGTATATATAACATTATATAACGTACACATATGCAATCATATGCATATAAATATATAGGATCATATACGGATATAACTTAACATCGGATATACAACCAACATAATTGGGCAGCTATCATGTCACCCTCTGATACCTTGCCTGGTCCAAAGGACTCTTGAGACAGTTGCAATTGCGGTAGAACCTCAGGTCTTGCACTAGATGTGCCGGAACCCAAAAAAAGCGATACTATAGTGATACCCTTAGCATAAATCGCACCCATCCAAATCCAACAAGGCTCAGGGGAATCCAAATCCTTGTCTCAAATTGATCAAGGCTCAAGATCTTCGCTTTGTCCAGTTAGCCGTCGAGGACTTTGCATACCTCTCTGAACCTGCCATGCGTGCCAGACTTCGGTTCTCACCATATTGAAACGGCGCAACTGTCAAGCAGCACCTTGCTCTCGAAAGCAATCCTTGGGCGCACCACTTTACCAAATCGGTCACGGCATGTCACGGTTCACATCGGCACTGTCTGGGACCCAGACCGTGCATCCATTTCATCTGCCAGCCGCGCTTCTAGGGAGTAAAGTCTGGCCTGGCCCAGATCGCGGCAGACTGCAGGCTTATATCTGTTCGACATCACAACTGTCCGCCTCGCTGATTTTGGCTGGTAGCGGGTTTGAATGCACCCACTTGGCAACCTGGCAGCGAACTGCAAGGTGTTCACTGCATCTTTGAACCACGGATTCTAACCAAACCTCCTTGCTCAAAGGTCCCATGAAACGATCCCCCTTCAGCCCCAAGGCCCCACAGTTTGCCAACCACAGTTATAAACCACCATAAATTGGGAGGGTTAGCCCTTGACTTCCCATGGAATTCTCCAGCCTTTTGATCCAAAAAGAGGAGTTCTCGGGCAAGACCTTGGCAAGTAGACTGAGAGAATAGCGGGATAAACATGCACATGTGTATGCATATATATATATATTATGTATATATATAATTATATATGTTATAAAGATGTATCTAACATAGAACTCATATTTTCTCTGATTTTTTTGAATTAATGACTACAAGTATTGATCTATACTGTAGATGGAAGGAATCCTGCACCAGTTGGTAACTATTGGATAGCTATTAAACACTGTAAATAATGGGATTAATGTGGGATAAACGGATAAACCATCTACTGGTACCAACTGGTGCAGGATTTCTTCCATCCACCGTATCATTGTATATTATACATATGCTATGAAATACTAAAAAACATGTTCTCATACATCTATAATTAATATTCAATAACATTCATATAATAAATATGGAGCATATATGTATATATATATAATACATGTGTGTATACCATGTCTATATATACATATATATATATATACATATATATATATATTATACAGTTTGAATTAATATCGCCAAAAGCAGCACCGTGTTCGAGCCAAGGTGCCACTCAGGTCCTCCCGCTTCACAACTTCCAAAGACTGGCACAACGCGCGCAGAACGGATTTCGGCTGCGTGGGTGTTCCAGCTATGGAAACGCCATTGTCACACAATTTGCTATGGGAAAAATCGAACTATCAATGAACTGTATATAATAATATCCCATGAATAGCAAGAAATCATCTTTGAGTTTAAGCAAATATAACTTCGCAGCAATCTTCATAATCATTTATCGGTAGGTATCTTGCCCTTCAAGAAATGTTACTAGGACAAGTCTGACTTGAATCCCAAGGCTTCAGCTCCTGTTTTGGGAGAGGGACTTGGATCTGCCACAAGCAGAACTGTACAGATGCCTTTTAAATAAATCTTTTAAGGATTAGTTCCTGGTTCCCCGTCCAAAGGGGCAAATCACGATCATGGTCGCTGAATTTGCAATTCGACATCTGATTTTGAGACATCTCTGTACAAAGTGCATATCTGTACGCTTGGTTGGCCCACATCAGACATCTGGAGAGAGCCATGTTTAATTCATCGGGGATCAGGAACACTGGAAAATGCGGACACGTGCTGTCCAAGAGGGTAATTAGGAGCATGCACGGTCTCTGCCAAGTTTGCTGTCTGTCTTGTGTCCGTTTCCTGTGAGTGCCTATTTAAACCTACTGTATGCCAATGCCTAAAATGGTGCTTTGACCGTCTTAGTAGGCTTTGGGAATGGCTTGCGGACACCGTTTTTGAACATCACTGGTTTGTACTCATCCGGCACACTCCTGTGCATCACGGGGCTGTTCCGGTAGCGCTCGATATGGGCTTTGAAACCTTGATGTGGTCCACTCCAGCTCACTTCGCAAACCTTTGCTGTGGGCAAGGCCCAATCCGCAAAGCCATGGAAAATCTTCCACAACTCATCAACAGCCTTGCTGTCCACCATGTTCACGAAAGCATAGCCCAAATTTGCATCACGGTAGAAATCACATGGCAAGTAGACAAAGTCATATTTGCCCTTCATCCCATGCTCATCGAGCATCTGCAGAAACATCTCCCGGGTGTAGTTGTTGGGCAGGTTGCGCAGCATCACTGTGGTGCGTTCCTTGCCTTTGCCCTGCCGAAGCTCTGGCTTCTTGTCAGTGATATGGTCCTCCACTTCGGGTTGAAGCTGATGCGATGCTTGATTTTCATGGCTTGGGACGGTCTGGCAGTGCTCTTCACTGAACTTGCCAGGTTCATAGACTGCTGGATCCTCATGCAGTGCAAAATCGGTCTTTGCGCGACGGAGCTTTCGAATTTTTTGCATCAGGCTCTGCCCATCATCAAGAAATGTGCCCCTTACGACCAGGCAACCTGTGTCCTCGTTCATCTCGTCCGCACACACGTCCGACTTGACATCGGAGCAGGGGGGAGGAACGTGCGAATGCTCAGCGTCGCTGGCCATTTCAGTGCTCAGTTCACTCAAACTGTCCACTGTTTCCACTTTCTGAAAGACAGGCACCACAACCACCGGAACACACACAACAGCCATGAGGCTCAGAGTCGGCCAGGAAGATCCAAGTTCTGACAGACAATTTGCCCTTGGGAACAAAAAGTGGCGAACGTGTGCAATGCGTTCAAATCACATGTGGCACATTTGGACTGGTCAAACAAGCTTTTTCAAGTAAAAAACAATCTTCAGTTCTGGTTGAATCTCTCGGACCTTTGGACAAATCTCCCATTTACATCCATTTACTTCAATGATTTTCGCCATCTTTGATTCTCATGGTCTCCAACGTTCCGCCTCTGAGGTCTTGTCTGCAAACTCCGTGATCGCTTTCAGGCGAAGGTCGAGAGCATCGGACATGTCCTGCACTCCAAATAAATCACAAATCATGTCGTATGTGTATATATATATATGGCCATATATAGACATAGATATATTATAATAGTGTACATACATAGATACATAGATACATAGATACATAGATACATAGATACATAGATACATAGATACATAGATAGATACATACATACATACATACATACATACATACATACATACATACATACATACATACATACATACATACATACATACATACATACGTGTACGTACGTACGTACGTACGTAAATGCATGCATGCATGCATGCATACATACATACCATAACACACACACATACATACATACATACATACATACATACATACATACATACATACATACATACATACATACATACATACGTACATTCATGCATGTATGCATGCATGCATACATTACATTACATTACATTACATAACATAACATAACATACATACATACATGCATGCATACATACATTACATACATTACATACATTACATACATTACATACATTACATACATTACATACATTACATACATTACATACATTACATACATTACATACATTACATACATTACATACATTCCATACATTACATACATTACATACATTACATACATTACATACATTACATACATTAAATACATTACATACATTACATACATTACATACATTACATACATTACATACATTACATACATTACATACATACATACATACCATACCATACAATACAATACCATACCAAACCATACCATACCATACCATACATACATACATACATACATACATACATACATACATACATACATACATACATTGCATACATACATACATTACATACATACATTACATACATACATACATACATTACATTACATTGCATTGCATTGCATTGCATTACATTACAATACAATACAATACAATCATACATACATACATACATACATTACATACATTACATACATTACATACATTACATACATTACATACATACATACATACATACATACATACATACATACATACATACATACATACATAACATAACATAACATAACATTACATTACATTACATTACATTACATAACATACATACCATACATACATACATACATACATACATACATACATACATACATACATACATACATACATACATACATACATACATACATACATACATACATACATACATACATACATACATCCAAGCATAGCGTAGCGTAGCGTAGCATTACATTGCATTGCATTGCATTGCATAACATAACATAACATAACATACATACATACATACCTACATACCTACATACCTTCATACCTACATACCTACATACCTACATACCTTACATTAAATTACATTACATTACATTACATACATATGTATATATATATATATATCTAATCACATGTGTATATATATATATAATTTATATACACGCACTATATACACACAATATGTCTGTAGGGAGAAAAACATCCTTCATTGCAAACAACTTTCCCCGATGCGTTGATGGAGGATCCTCAGGAAAAGAACCAACAAGGGGGAGGTCCTGCATTGCCTTACTAAGCTGCTCATGTTGCCCATCATGTCTGTCCACGTTGTCAACCTCAAGACTCAAAACCAGTTCATAACTTCATCCAATCTGATGGGATGATTGGGATCTGACTAGCTTTCAGCACATTCAGTTTTTCAATCCTTACATGCTGCTACAACAGAAATGGCATAGAACACCATCTCCACATTCAGAGGACAGAAACTGCTGTGAATCTGATGGCCCCAGCCATGTTGATCTTCATGTCATCCATGGACTCGTGCAATTCTGAGGCTTTGGTTTCATGAGCCTGGCAACTAATGACAGGACGCAAATGAAAGGGTGGGCACACGCAAAAGCCAGGCAGTCTGGCAGTCTATCAGAACAAATGAAGCTTTGGAAATAGTTTAGCTAGCCCATGCTATCCCATGCTAGCCCATGCTAGCCCACAGTCCCAGTTGTTCTGCCCCGAAAGGATCAAAAGTTCTGCAATAAGATGCGAGTATCGTCAACAGTGCTAAGAAGTTCTAAGGCCTATTGGCAGCTGACCCTGATGACTGATGAAGACAAGTCATGACAGGTGACAATGATTCACTCTACAGCGCTGCCATACTGCCACAATAGCACCACGTTTCCTTTTGGAAAAGACATATCCCCAATTGTCGTTTGGTTTTGCATGGATTCATAAATTAGAATCACTTCTTATCCCCATCAAATCCAGAAAGCCAACAAAACACATCCATTTCGAGAAACACAATGGGTGGTGGACAAAGTATAGATATATATATATATACAATATATACATATGTATATAGTGTGTATATATATATATATATATTGTACTAATATACATCATCACCCCTTCTGGCATCACCAGATCACCAAAAATCGCCTGCTGCAGTTCCTCCAATTTCTTCATGATCTCCTGGATGCTGCTGACCAGCGTTGGCGCCTGGTCTCTGAGCTTATCCAAGTCTACGCGGATGACCTGCCATGGCGCCATGGTCATCCGGGGGGAACCTCGCTCCAACGTTAGTTAAGGGAGGGGCTGGCTGGAACAAAACTATGAGATTTTGATGGAAAATGGTGGTAAACCATGGTATCACCACGTTATCGCACCTTTTATGCAATACTTTTAAGATTTTCAAGATGGAAAATCATGGGAAACCACGGAAATAATGTAGGTCCTTTACTTTCAAACAAACCCGTTTGGTGGATGAAACATGGGAAACATACGAGCTCCCGTCAAAATTCTCTACATCTCAGTACAGTAGTTGCTATTTTCGGTTCTGGCTTTTTTTTGGGGGCCTTTCAAGTGTATTGTGCCATTATCGATTTCTGGGGGGGGGCCTATCGCTTTACAGTATTTCGTGCACATCTCTGACAACAGTGTTTCTGCGATACTACAGTGGTCTTCAACTGTAAAACATATGGAAACAAACATAAACACATAAAATGCCAACAAACTGCGACGGTTCACCCACCAAATTTTTGCGATCGGAGGGTATCACAAGCAACAATTCACATATGTAAAGAAGTCAAAACGGTGCACTTCTGAAGGATGAACCGTCATGAATTCAAACCCTAAGCCACCCCTAAGACAGCCTCTCTTTTGGAATCTAAACTTGACTCACTGTCTGAATCCATCTCCAAAACAGCTGAAGCAACTGAAGCGTGTTGGTGGGACGTCGGTTTTCACGTGCATGGTGTTGAGGTAGGCATTCAGCGGGTTCATGTGTCCTTCCACCATTTTTGCGACCTGTGCGGCATTTTTTTCGGCAACTTGTCACCATCTGTGGTGAGGGTCCACTGAACCTTTCAAGACCAGCCTGGCTCCTGTAGTCCTCCACCTTGTCGTCCGTCTGCCCTTGGTGGCTGATGTCAGTGATGCCATGATCGACTAAACATCTGTACCTCCAGCGATGATACGACTGTTGATACGACTGCTAAGCTAGGCACGACCCATGTCCGAAACCAGCTTCTGCACTTCAGACACGTGGTCCTGGACCCGTGATATATCATATAATTATATATATTATTATATATATAATAAATTATACATATAATAAATTATATATAATATATATATAATAAATTATATAGTTGTCATATATTGTCATATTACATCAATATGGTTTTCTCTCGAAATACGTTCGAAATGGAATTTATTTCAAAATGGCTTTCTTAATGGCGAACCTGTGATGATCAAACATGGAAATTTGGGGCTTTCACACCTCAATGCGACGTCCCAATCTTTCCATCTGCTGATAGGTGGTTCTTTGTTGGAGCTCCAGTTCCTGCAGCTCTCAGCGCTTTTCCCTTGATTGGGGGCATGGATGGGGGCGATTCCCCAAAGATCAGGAACAGAAATAGGAACATCATGGAACATCCAAAAACTTGGCGACAACTTGGCGACAAGAATTCACACCCGCCAGCTGGTTTGATAGTTTTCCTTCCAGCTGTCCTCGCCCTTTCGTTGCACCGCCGTCTCCACGTCTTCATGCTGGACGCGTGTTGAGTGCAGTTCTTGCCTCAGGCCCATGGGTTTGTCCATATCCTAAAATGGCACTTTGAATGTGGAAAATAACTACAAAATCATCAGATTCTGGGGTACATCGAACTGTACTTAGCCGCTCCCCGTTTTCATACAGACCGATGGTGCTTCTGAATCACAATTTTTACAGATCGATTGAGGCCCAAACACTGCAGCTTGCGTTTCAGCAAGACTTCCACTTAGCGTTTCATTTCCACGAGAGTGTTCCTTTCAGCACACCCATCTCAAGAGATGTTCCAACTCAGAATATGTCATAGGATGCCAGGAGAAAATATCGGCCTCAAGAGTCTCTTGGCAGCTGGAGATCTTCTCTTCGGATTGTTGACATGCTTGATGTAACTCCTGGTAGCTCCGCTTGGTGACAATTTGACCCAAATGTGGCGCCAAAAAGCAGTGCCAACAAAAAGGAAACAAAAAAGCAGTGCCAATATTGTCCAATTGGGTATGGGTCAATACCTATAGATACATTTTTAGTGGGATGAACATCCATTTACCAGCTATTTTGGGGTTCACTAGGTACCAGGGTTTTGACCCATCCCCAATTGTTTGTCCAATTGTTTGTCCAATTGTTTGTCCAATTGTTTGTCCAATTGTTTGTCCAATGGATTCAAAATGATTCAAAAGGGCCTGGATCGAAGTTTGCAAAGAAACATGCCGCTCTTGATCTAACGCTTGACCTGCTCTCCATCTCTCAAAGGCCTCAGGGCTCGTTTCTGGACACCAAGATCACCAAGGCAGGAAGGCATTGGCCCTCAGCTCGAAACCGTGTTCAGCGTCTCCAGCTCCCTTTCTAGACCTGGAGAAAAAAAACATGAACACATTGAGTAATATTGAGTATCAACTAGTATCAACTACAAACCTGTCTGGATTCCTAGGTCGCCACTGAATCTTACTGTAACATCTGTAACATACTATTAACACACTTCTTTCTGTATTGGAAACTCAATGCATCATAATGCATCATAATGCATCATAATGCATCATAATGCATCATAATGCATCTATCATTATCTGAGACTTCTGCCAAGAACTGAAGTTTCCATCATGGCCACTCCTTGGCGGGTCGCAACTTGGAATCTGGGACCATGGCGCCGCGACCGCATACCGCGACTCTGAGCGACCAGGCCATTTTGGCTCGGTGGCTCTGCCTCCAACGGGTGACATTTACCTTTCGAAAAATGAGCAAACCAATAGCATCCAATAGCTATTATTTGTTTCAATATGTTTCAATATGTTTCAATATGTTTCAATATGTTTCAATATTTCAACATCTTTGTATCATGTTTACATATATTTACTCAAGCTTTCACCAGCAATTACAGTCAGGCAGGACCAACTGATGTGACTCAGCCTCTGGAACTGCATCCGTGTGATCACCTTCCACAGCTCCTGGATTTGTTTCAAGGCAATCTATCTGTAGTCCAAAGGTCTGGCCTCAGAAACGGTTGGATGTTGAAACGGTTGAAGAATTTTGAAGGGTCACACTCAACAAATATCATCAGGCACCCACCGATCTGGCTGAAGACCACTGCCAAGCATTTCTCCATGCGCTGGAAAGTGTGGGCACAGGTTAAAGCCTGCTGCCTTCATGGAAATCCATGGGAAATCCATGGGAAATTCATGGGAAATCCATGGGAAATTCATGGGAAATCCATGGGAAATCCATGGGAAATCCATGGGAAATCCATGGAATATGTTGGAACGTTTTGACATCAGAAGTGCTGCTTTGCCAGCCTCACAGCAGCAGACTCCCCCGCGAGGTTTTGCTCACCACTGGCCATTCGTTCTTGCCTTAAATGACACAATGATAGTGCGACACAACATTTGACATGTTCAGGGGAAAAAATGTTGGGTGGGTTGACCCCGAGCATTTGAACTCAGGGTAGACTGAGTCCAGCACACGTTTGCAAGACTCTGCTCCACTGACATGAGCTTCTCCTATTTAGGCTGATTAAAAACATTTAAAAATCTTTGCGCATCGTGTTGCTGCTCGGTGCATATCACTTGCAACTCGTGTAACTTTCCAACTCAGCACATGGCGCAGCAAGATCAGCAGCAGGTCCTCCATCTTGCCCAAAAAATCCGTCTGGCTCTTGGCACGGCTTTCATAGAAGTCAGCCCATTTCTTGATGGCATTCCTCGGTAGAAAAGTCCGGCCATTGCTCCGAACACCAAGCAACACCATTGAAGCAAGAAACCAGAAACTGTCAGAAGTGCTGTGACAAAATTTCAGTGGTAACGCTGTTTTTGGAGAGCAGCAAATAGCTACTGTAGTCACTGCAGTAGCTTTTTGCACCATAATGATCCATAATGTAGAAATATAGATGAAATATAGATGAACTATGAATGAAAAAAGTGGAAATTCTGGAACTCTTTGGATCTTGGCCCGTCTCGGCCTGCCTCGAAAAAACTTTCTCCGAGCAGCATATTTGTGTTCGTGGTCTGAAAGGACTTGAAAACCATGGGAGGTATGTTCTCCCAACTGTCCTTGTCAAGCCTCAAGCGTCACTTTGGCAATTTGGGCTCGGGTCAATTTTGTATGTCAAAATTGAGGTTCCCCCAAAATGGACGGTCAATACTGTCAATAGAGTCAATACTACAAAATGAGACAAATCTGTGGGGCTGGGGCCCCACAAAATTTCAACACACGCCCAATTTGAGTCTCAGTGCCAATCTGGTTTCGGTCAATAGAATCTGAGTTCTATGCACCATCTTCGCAATATTAAGAGACGCCATGGCAGCAAATACTGGATCTACAGGAGGCAAAGGCTGCGACAGGCTTCCAAGAAACATGTGCGTTCTGATTGCCGGTGCTCTCAATCCTGGCTGAGTTGCTTTTCTCACAGTTTTTACCAGTGCAAACTAGTCCACACAGTGCGTTGAGCTTACTCTGCTGACGAATGTGAGGAAATGGCTAGCGATTCAAAGGCTGGATTTAAAACACGGAGGTCTGCATTCAGTCTTCATCATTCACAGGCCGCGACACTCAGCCATAGCACAAATCTTTTCCATACATCGCCACGGTGTGTGCTTGCTTGACAAGTACCTGAGGCGATCAAGCGGCTGTCAAATCTGTAAAGAATAGGGGCTGGGTTTTACTGCAGAATTGTGCAGGTTTTTCTTTCGAAACTACCTGAGAAATCCCAAGCTGCCTGGAGAAAATCCTTGGAAAACACGAGGAAAACCTAAGGGGTCAACTGCCTTCCCTCTGGCCCCACCATTGCATCTCAGTTTCTGACCCAAGTGGCGGCAAACACCTTCTCCAGGTCCAAACACCAGCACGGTGTCACTCCATGAGACCTTGAGATATGGCCAGTGGATGGCCAGTGGCCAGTATCGCTACAGATCCAAGGCACGGTTCAAAGGTGCAGCTTCGCGCCCTTTGTCAGCGACAGATGCTTCAATCAGTGCCTACCTGTCAGCACGTTCCGCACAGCACTTTGTCCGCACCGGGGGAACGGTGGGCCAGTTGAGCATAAAGTCAGCAAAAGTCTGACATGGGATGAAAAATGGATGAAACAGATTCCCCATAGATTCCCCAAATCCAAACCCCGCCTGCTCCTCGACTTCTTGGAGTCTTCTCTGAAGACCTCGGTGAGTCCATCCGTGTGCAGATTCCATGTTTAAAGACATCATCCGTGTCATCCAGCAACTCAGATTCGCCATGGCTCAAAATTGCGTCCCAAAATTGGATGATGAATATTGATTGATAGAAAACATGACACAGCATGACCAAAATCTGCAGTTTTGCCGGGCTTTACCCGAAATTTCCAGGTGAAAAGCTGAGCCAAGGAGGACACCCAAAATCTGCTGCTGCAACGAAGTCTTCTCCCCTTTCAAGGTGGTGATCTGAGCCGCAAAGCCAACATTCCCAGTTGTTGGCTTAGAAGAATCACGCATGAATCCTATGAAACAGTGAACCTCGTTCAACATCAAACATCACTCAGTACCAACATCATAGTACCAACCCCAAGCGATTGCTGCGAAACCTCAATGCTATGGGGTGGTTCAAAACAACTTTCCGAAGCCACAGGTGGCAGTTTCTGGGCACTTGACCTGCTGTTGCAAGCGGGAATTTTCTGCCTGGCTAGGACTTGTCAGTGGGGGGTAGTGGTACCCCAGCCATTCTGAACGACCAAAAAAGGACTATGGTTGATGGTATCAACCTGTTTCACAATCCGTCCCGAAAAACTGCGCGTTATTTATGTTGATTTGTCAGGCCAAATAGAAGCGGCAAGCCAAAAGGGCTTGAAACCACCTGTCAAAATTGGGAATGTCTGCAGCGCAGCTGTTCAATTCCGCCTTTTGTTGAGTGAAGTGCCTCTTCACCTAACAGTGTGAAGGTATCTGAAACCAGATATGTCACCTTCACTCACAGCAGTTCACTCCTCGTCTTGCAAACGCTGGACATCACCCACCATGGTCTTCTTCAGTTCCTGGCAATGGTTTCTTGTTTTGCTTGAAGCACCTCCTCTTTTATCTTTGCTTTCTTTAATACCTTCATATAATACTCATACTCATAATTCATACTCATACTCATATATCTTCAACCTCCGCTGTTTCCCAGCACCTGCCGATCAGAATCCCGCAGAATCTAAAACAGCACAGAAATTCTCCTGAAGTTGCCCTTGGTAGTGCTCCTCAATCCCAGCCTTTGCGGAGTTGCACCATGAGTGCTAGTGCTAGCGCACAGGATGGAAAAGCTTCATAGCCAACCTCTTATCTTTTGCGCAACTACGGTCGCTTGCCAAGTACCTTGTCGCTGCGAAGGCTTTCAATCTCTTGCCGCTGCGCTGCCAACTCCTGCCAGAGGCAACATTGATGGACTGCCAAGAGGTTTCAAGGTTCAAGGTCCAAATGTCACACCGATTCCATGGCAAGATTGGCAAGATTGGCAAGACGACTGTCCAGCCTCATTTTGCATAGAGATGAAATCCTCCAACGATGCAAGCTTGCCCTTCAGCCTGGCACCAGCAGCCCTTCTGTTTTTCAGCCTGTTGGGCTACCCTGCTATGGATCATGGATGCTTCCAAGCTGCCCAGTTGGCATTGGCACATCGCTGCTTCCAGACATCATCATGGCGGCAGGTCGCACAAGAAATGCCAAAACCTTCACGGGATGATGTGCGGTGGTACCTTGAGCCTGCACTCACAAGACGCAAGCGATCTCTTTGATTTCACAAGTTGCACATCACCAAGCTATATATTTACATTCAATCATATTAACACATACAGTATGACGACTGTATGGCACATATAACATCATATAACATCATATAATATCACATAACCTTTATAACCTGACATAAACCAGAATCTATTTTTCAATCCATTGTCCATGGTATGCAAATGTATGCAGTGTCTATTGAGTCTATTGAAACAAAATGCTGACAATGCCAGGCTATTTCACCCTGTCTTCCCCAAAGGTCTGGTTGTACATCCCGCAGCTTGTCATGCAGCGGACTAACAATGGCCATTTTGCCATCCTTAAAGGATCTAGAGGGGCTACCCAAGGTTTGCTCACCGAATACCTTATTGATTGGCTGCGCTTTGTCCTTTTTCTTCTTCCCCTGCGGCACGAAGTATGAAGCCTGTAGGGACACTCCTCGGTGGAATCTAGATGAATCATGATGAATCTAGCGGCAAAAACCAGGCGAGAACTGCCGTTGGGTGTGCCCAAGAATCTGACCATCCAAAGCCGAACACAATGCGGGGTTTGAGGCCCTGAACCGGAGCCTCAACACAGGGGCTGCACATAAAAAAGTGTTTTTTTAACGAACTCCCCCCATCCCATCTCATGATTTGAAATATCAGTTTGCCCTTCTGAAACCTGTCGAATCTAGAGGAAAATCCATGAAAAATCCATCATTGGTCCATCATGTTTCATCATGTTTCATCATGTTTCATGGGACACCCACCGTCGCATGCAGCTCATGGGAGGCGAAGAAGATCCAGACATCGCCTTCTTCGACTGGGACAGTCCTGAAGAACCACGGTTTTTTTCCTCTGAACATTGAGGGAACACCACCCCCCAATCTAGTGTTTAATATTGTTTAATATTGTTTAATCATTATTTTATCATCTGTATATTTATCATTATTTATCTATGATTTGATGGCCATCCTTCGGGGTATACCATTCCCATCAAAAGAAAACCAAATGAAGAAAGGAACTTTCGGAAACGACGCGGAAACTAGATGCAACAAGTTGAGATGAAACTTTGTTTAGGATGCAATTTGGGTTCTTCTCAAGCTCTCTCAAGCTCTTTCAGGTCCGAGCTTTCCGGCTATGATTGGACGGCCCGACCTCAACGATACACAAAGTTGACAGATGAAATATTCTGTAGATCCGTTGACGATACGTATGATATGTCTGGAGAGGTGTATGAAGATATGCATGAAGGATCAATCATTTTCTGCGATGCGACCATATGTAGTATTGATGCTGAACTTACCAGTATTGCGATCTTGCTCCTATGGCCACAAGCTCTAAGCAATGTCTCCTTAGTCTCTTTGCAAAATCTAAAGCCGGGGCTGGTTCATTTGCACCACAATATTCGCTCGTAGATGTGCAAGTGCCATTGGGCCTGACATCATGTCATCACTTTTCAATACTTTTCAATCTGATCGACCATTTGCTTGGTTTTTCCCTCATAGATCTCATAGACAATCCCTATATAGGAGTCTAGATGAGTCGAATGTGTGTACCGCCATTTGCAAAGCCGGTCGCTTCCGGCGAATCGAGGCTCACCTGAGGTGTACTTGTCACGATGTTCGTGAATAAAGCCTGGGGAGTTGGCGTGCCATGTGCTGGTCCAGTATGAGTGGTTGAAGCAATAGGATCCACCATCCCCAAAATCACCACAAATGGGTGTTATACACTTTCAAAAAATGGGTGGTTTATTCTATTCTATTTTTGCTTTACTAACAGTAGTATCTTTGAAGGAACTAAGATCAAAAAAAATGCTCACCTGAAAGCATCCCACCAGTCCTTTGACATCTTTTGACTACAAATAGCTGGAACTGCAGAGCCAAATCAGATAGAATTTGATTTGTTGTTCTTTTCCAAATGAAATGCATGTTTACGTAGAACTATCAGATTGACATACTATCATAGATTGACCCCCTGCTCCAGTCCCTTCCCTGAGCTACCTCCCGGATCAATGTAAGAGAAGACCCGGCCAAGCGTTTCATCTCTGGGCCTGAAAAGGTCCAACCAGTCTGATTCTTTTAGATTCGACCGCTATGAAAAAGAAAAGAAGCGAGCAGATGATTTCGGAGCAATTTTCACGCGCGGAGTTCCATGTTAGAGTTCATGATATTCTGGTGTATTTTGATACTCAGCGGAATTGTTTGAAATGCCTACGAGCAGAACCCTACCTCCCTTTAAGCTCAGCTACAGCTAGTTCAAGACGTTGTGTCAGAGCCTGCAAACAGGTGACTTTGAGATCGAAAAAAAACTTTGAGCAATGAATGAGCAACGATCAACCCCTTCACAAAAATAGAAAACAACAGACATGGTTTGAAGAACACCACATCAGCTAGGGATGAACGGGCGCTGCTAATTTGAGGAAATCCTTAACAAGCAACAAAAAGAAACTCTGCATGACGGGCCTCAATCAGGGAGTCTACTCCGCCAGTTGTGTCCAAGCGCCGAAAGAAGCGGCGGGGCCCTGCCGGATTCGGCAGCAGCTTTCCCTTCCTGGGATTGCTGCAGCATGCCGAGCATGCTGCAGCGGTTTTCGGAGGCAGAACACTTTTGACTGAGGCTCAAACACCATCTGCGTCACTGCAGACTCTAAAAGAAGCAATCTCTCCGCCTCAGAACAGCAGAAGGGAACACTCTTTTGATGTTCTTTTGGTGAAGGGATTGAGAATGGGGATAAATATCATTCGTTGCTTCATGGCTTTACTTGTTTGTTTGTTTGTTTGCTTGTTTGTTTGTCTGTTAGTTTGGTTTGTTTGTTTGTTTGTTTGTTTGTTCGTTTTTTTTTGTGTGTGTGTTCCTCGAAATTGCTCAACCATTCCACAAATTTCAACTGGCCTCAGAAACAAATTTCCTCAGCACCAACCATGGCTCCTGTAGATCTTCTTGCCTCCGGGTCATGCTGAGTGATTTGAATTTGACATCTTTTCATATCTTTTCATCGTGAGGAGCAGGGCCTTTTTCCTGATTGAACATATTGAAGGTTGTAGGCATGCAGGACTAAAGATCACTGCATTCTCTCTGGCACCTGCTACACTCCTCTGGTATCCTCTGGTGATAGCAGCTACTCGCCATGAGGATCATTAGGACAGGAGAATTCCCAAAAATTGCCCACTGACAGACTCAGAGCTTCATCGCACAAACGTGAACAAAAAAGATAAAAGAGTGTGAGTTGCGTCACATTTTAGCAGGATTTTAGCAGGATATTCTGTATATTCCTTGACTTTACGGCAACCTGCAACATCCTGCAACCAATGGCAGCTACCAATGACATCCATCTGCCAAATCATCCAAATCAAGCCATAGATGTCCTCCAGGCAGCCAGGCTGTTCGCCGATCTCCTGGATTGGGATGGGACCAATGGACCAATGATAGTGGTTTCCTATCTAAACAGGTACCAGGTAGAGCATTCTTTGGTTAAGAGGTGGTGAATATTCTAAGTCTTGGTTGCTTGATATCAACATTTTTCGTTCACGTCCACATGTTGAGTTGGATAATGTCCGCATTTCCGTTGGCAAGCGTGAAATCCATTCGAAACACTGGGGATATCCATTTCTCTGCATTTCCATCTGTCCATTTTTGGGGGGCCACTCGAAGGGTGAGACCACCCTGTCCGGCCGCTGCTGCAACGTGCTCCTGCTATGTCTGGGCCAGGCCGATCTCCGGCATCCAGCTACCGTGTGCCAAGTCATGTCCGACAGATCAACCAGGAAGCCGCGAAGCCAAATCTGCTGATTGCACTCATTGTGTCAAATTGTGTCACTAAAGTCACCAGTGCATACTTTATAATACTTTATATATATATATTTGTAATTTTTTATATACTAATGATATACCAATGCCTTGAAGAAAACTTGAAAGCCTTGAACACTTACTCTGCGGGGACAGCCCAACCGCCCTTTTGTGAGATGGACTGTCTCCCAGGAACATGACCAAGTCGCTGCAAAATGGTCACCGGTTCGCCCTAAGTTTGCCAGACTACAGGCAAATGAAAGTGAGCTTATGTGATATTGCGTGATATGTGTGATGTTAATATGTGATGTTAATCGAAGGGAGTTTAGAAGTGAAACTTCCGACAATATGGACAGTTGAAAAGCAGAGGTGAGAAGAGTCAGAAGAGACAAGATCAGAAGAAAGAAGAGGTAGATGCGCGAAAAGATAGGAAAGTCGCGATTCACTGTGTTTTTCCAATGATTTGTGGCTCCGGAGGGTCGAAAAGTAGGCTCGCTAAAGCGGCGGGTGCGGAGCCAGCTGGCCAGATGAGACATGAAAAAGTGCACGCCGTTGTGGCGCGAAGCACATTTCCAAGTCAAAATGGACAAAACACTAGAGGTCGGACCACTTTTGGAAGACCACTTTTGGAAGATGTCGAAAAAGTGCACGCCGTTGTGGCGCGAAGCACATTTGAAGTCAAAATGTACAAAACACCCAACCTCGGACCACTTTTGGAAGTTGAGATGTCGAAAAAGTGCACGCCGTTGTGGCGCGAAGCACATTTCCAAGTCAAAATGTACAAAACACACCATGGTCGGACCACTTTTGGAAGTTGAGATGTCGAAAAAGTGCACGCCGTTGTGGCGCGAAGCACATTTCCAAGTCAAAATGTACAAAACACCAGGGGTTCGGACCACTTTTGGAAGTTGAGATGTCGAAAAAGTGCACGCCACTGTGGCGCGAAGCAGATTTCCAAGTCAAAAGTGTTAAAAAACTGACGGTCTCGGACCACTTTTGGAGGTTCAGATGTCGAAAAAGTGTCGAAAAAGTGCACGCCGTTGTGGCGCGAAGCACATTTCGAAGTCAAAAGTGTAAAAAACTGAGGGTTTTGAGCCTTTTTTGACGTGAAGATGTCGAAAAAGTAGACACTGATTAACTTAACTAACTTGACTAACTTAACTAACTTCACTAACTTAACTACCCTAACTTCGACGACACAAGCAACAGCAACAGCAACAGCAACAACAACAACAACAACAACCACAACAACAACACAACAACACAACACAACACAACAACAACACAACAACTACAACTACAACACTACCACAAACAACTACCCTCCACAAACAACTTACTACTACAAACTAGAAATACAACTCAACACGCTACAACAACAACAGCACAACAACAACAGCAACAAGCAACCAGCAACACACAACAACTACAACTACAAACAACAATTACAACTACAACTTACAATACACAACAAATACAACTAGAACTACAACACAACAACTACAGCTACAACTACACAACAACTACAACTACAACAACAACTACTACAACTACAACTACAACTACAGCTACAGCTACAACAACAACTACAACTACAACTACACAACAACTACAACTACACAACAACTACAACTACAAAACAACTACAGCTACAACCATATGACTGCAACTACACTACACTAATTACATTACACCACAACTACAACTCCACTACGCTACAGCTACAACTACAGTTGCAGTACATCACACTACATCCAGCAGTTGTGGGTGAGGTGACCACTGCAACCATTGCAACCATTCCAGCAAACACAACTCCAACCACCTTTCGGTCAATCAGTGGCTTCGCTCTGCCATCCCTGATTCACAACAACCAACTTCTCAGTGTGGGTGCCCCGCGGGGCCGCTAAGTGATTTCTGCCGCTTGCCCCGCTTGCCCCGCTTGCTCCGCTTCTAGGGAAAATAAGTGAATCTTCCTCCTTGCCCCGCTTGCCCCGCTTGCCCTACTTGCAAACCGAGGGAAGATCGGTGGTTCTTCCCGCTTGCCCCGCTTGCCCCGCTTGCCCCGCTTGCCCCGCCCCGCTTGCTTTGGTTTCACCACACAGCAGTATGAAAAAGGAATAGAGGTGGTAACGTGAATGGAATGTTTGGGCGAGTGGGGCGTGTGGGGCGAGTGGGGCGAGTGGGGCGAGTGGGGCGAGTGGGGCGAGTGGGGCGAGTGGGGCGAGTGGGGCGAGTGGGGCGAGTGGGGCGAGTGAGGCGAGTGGGGCGAGTGGAGCGAGGGGGGCGAGTGGGGCGAGTGGGGCGAGTGGGGCGAGTGGAGCGGCCGACGGGGATTAAGTGGCGACTCCAAACACCGTTGCAACAATACCAGATTGGATTCTGCAAGTTCCCTTTGTAGAAGACGTGTGCAAGATCTCCTTGACAGGTTCTTTCTAGGCGCTGCTGTGCAAGATCCTTTTGTACAAGGTCTGTATGAGACCAAACAAAGATCGACTATGTTTAAACATGTCCTAGAAAAATTGCGTTGAACATTACATGACACCAATGTGACATTAAGATATTAAGCATCAAGCATCACCGGAAGCAACCTCCAGCCATTCCAGCAATGCGCACCGACGCGCAGTGCACGTGCCCCGCGGGACCACAGACCCGATGGTCACAGTGAGGAGTGGACTATTGTGCCATCTCTATTTGATTGCGCACCAACATCACGCATGCTGGCATCAGCATCTGCTGAATCCCTAAGGTAGAAGCCATTGTCCTGGTGCCACTTAGCATCGGCACCTGCAGACGCAGGAGTCAGCGACATGATCGGTGTGGACAGGACTCCCGTGAGTCTTCTTTAATTCCCCCATGCAGCAGAAAAATTATATCGCAGTCGGAAAGGATGGTAGAAAACAGAAATGGTAGAAAACAGAATAAACAGGTGCAAGTTTCAATTCTTTCTTGGACTTGATCAGGAACAAAATAAAACATGTGTCTTGCTTCAACATCTCGAACGGCTATGTTCAGCGAACAGTGGCTTCACATGCGCCGCACAAACTATTTTGGAGCCGCGGTGTTGGCTGTCCGCTTTGCCTCAAAAAGAGTAGATTGGGCCTTTGTCAATCTCATGCCACCAGCGCACACGATTGAACACTAGAAGGCCAAGCAGACTGTTTTGAATGTGGCTTTGGACACGATGATGAACCACTATGTAAGATCTTCACACCACAATGTCTTGTCATGAAAATGGGTGGGTTGATTGAAATTGACGCACAATATGTTGCAGCCACCATACCGTCTTGATTGAAAGCATTCACCTCGTAGGGTCAGGAACACGCTCGGGGAATCGCACCATTATTGACGCGTATCTTTGGAAACAAGACTTATATACAACAAGTGCTTTGGAGCACATTGTCACTCTTTTTTGGGCTGACAGTTTAGACATGGGACCGTGCAAGACCTCGTATTTCTGGAATCCTACTTGAAATCATTGGCACTCAGTTGCAGCTTGGCAATCATGTCTTGAGCTTCCGAATTAGTCAAAAGGTCTTCCCAGGCACATGTCTGGTAGTACAGGACAGCGTGGCCACCTGGCGGGCCTCGTGGCTCGCTCTTTAGCGTGGCCTCCTTGCTCTTGGCGCTTTTCTTGTCCTTAAGTTTGGGCGCCTGTTCTTCCACTTCCTTCTTGTCAACCTCTTGCCAGATGCCAACTTTCAAGAGGTCTTTGACTGCTGCCAAGACGTACTTTGCTGGTTTTTCCTCTTTCTCCTTCTGAAAGTGGTACTTCAGAACAGAGCGAATGTGCGCAGTGGAGGTTGGACCAGCACATCGAGGATTGGACAGAATGAACTCGCTGCAATTTCATCTTGGCATCCAAATCTGCAAGTCCTGGGGTCTTGACATCTGGCACGGCTTTGGGGCCTACCAAGGCTTGGACTTGCTTGGAGCGATAGAAGGCAAACCACAAGCACATTTGGCGACGCCAGATATGCAAGGCATGTCACAAATCGAAGACGGTCATCTCAACGGCAAACTCATCTATGATCCTATCAAGGGCCAACGCGCAGCGGGCCTCAGAATACTGCCTGCAACGCATGGCTGCATTAGCGTACCGAGCCACATCTGTGTCAGCATAGCGTAGCTTCTGTTAGATTGGTTCTTCTACATTCTCGTGATTCTCGTGAAAGAAGTCGGAGATTCCCTGCAAAGCCTTCCTGAGCACGGGCAAGGCGAACTTGTCAAAATAGTGGTCTTTGTCCTGGTTGCTTGCCACGCGCCCCATCCAACCAAAGAAGTCAATCAGGAACTCTTTGCTGGACTGGCTCTGCTGATCAGGGTCACTTGTCACTGGCCTTGTTTGCCACGTCGCATGGATTCTCTTGGAAAACATGCTTGCAGTCGGCTGGAGCACATACTCACAAAGCGACACCAGTCCATACACTTGGGTGTAATGAGTCAGCGCCGTGGCACCATCTCCAGTGACTGTCTTGTCATCTTCGCAGTTCAGCCAAGTGCACATCTTTTCTTTGTTGCCGTAATGCAGACCTGAGTGTCGGGTCTCCCTCCCGGATGTCACGACATATTGTTGTGGCAATCTCATCCGAAATGATGCCAGCTCGGGCATATTCTTTGATAGAAGCACGAATACCCTTGATGGTGGCATCCGTGCATGTGGCGCCACCTGCCTTGATGACAGCAGGGACATCTGCATGGGAAAGAAGCTTTTTGCTGGTAAAATCTTGCGCATGCTGGGGTCACCTGCGCAAACAATCTAGACTACGCAGCCACGTCGGTGCTCCTCATCAGGCTGCAATCGAAGCCGCGTGCCTGCATGGATGCTCCATCCAACCAATGTTGCTGAGGATAGGCGCCATGAATGTCTCAGGCTCCCAACCTTCCTTGCGGGCAATGGTTTTCAAGCTGACTTCGAAAGGCACGGGCAGCACTTCTCGAGTTCTGAAGGCAAAGTCTGATGCCACAGCGTGGTGGTCCCTGGGGTCTTTCAAGGCTGCATTCAGAACGGTTTGATAAGAAGCCTCTGGGCTTCCAAGCCCTTGATATGTGCTCTTGGTGTGAAGCAACGAAAGGCTTTGTGCTTCATCCCTGCAAGCCAAGTACTCCGACATGGCGTCGTGCATAGGATCCTTCACCGTGGTAGATGCCTTGCTGGTCCGACTCAGGTCGTAGATGTCAATCCCAAAGCTTGGAATGGACAAGCGGGCTGCTTCACTTCCACCCTGTGTGAAGGGAGGGCTTTCTGGGCTTGGGGACCTTTGGGTGGGCGGCACTGGGCTGCGTTGTCCTCTGGTCTTTCTTTTTACCCCCTCAGCCACAGCCTCTGCTTCCATTGCTGCCTCAATCTCCATCTCTTGCAAAGCGGCATCATCAGCCTCTTCCTGGGAATCTTCATTCTGAAGACAGAATGGGCAGTCATGCATAGGGCAGCCCTGCTTTAATCGGTATTGCTGCAAGCAATCCGCGTGGCACACGTGCGAGCAAGAGTCTCGGCTCGGGGAGCACAAGTGTTTTTCCGCATCGTCTGCGAAACCATCTCCACAAACTTCACACGTGGCCATGTCTAGGAAGCTAACTCCTACAACTTGAACTTGATGGCGCGGCTTGGGTACCGGAGAGCACTTGTCAATGCGTGGTATCATGGTCATATTTGTCGGATTTGCCTTTGCAGTCCCAAGCGTGATATCGACTCCATGCAACCAAACTGGCTCTCATGCTGCGCTGCGTGGACAGCCGGAACAATGTGAAAATGTTCACATGCCCTCCACATCTCTCAGTTTCAACACTTCTGTAGCGCGCAGCGAATTTTTTAACCTCGCGACATTATCAAAAACTGCTTGGCCTAGTGTACAAAAGGACTGCTTTCTGGAAGTTTCTTGCGATTGAGAGCACAATATCGTCCATGCCATTGAGACCCACAGGTCGCAGTGGACGAAGCCAGCGCGGCGCTAATCAGGTACGGATAATTTGTGGTCTGCGGCCTGCAGCGTCTGCAAACAAGATTCTTGCAACGCTTGAACCCGAGCCTCAGTCCAATGAAATCTTGGTTTTGAAAACAACTCCCAAGCCCATAGCGGAATGTCTGGCGGCAAATTTTCAGGCGGACGTTCTTGATCAACTTGACTGTACAGGTGCCAGTAGACAAGCAAGAGACGAACATTTTGCTCATCCAGCGCCCGCGGCAATGCAAGGTCAACTTCAACACCCGCAATGGGGCTCTAATGCACCTGAACGCCAGCGTCTATGTACATACGTCTGGTGGAGCATGCTGCGGGGAGATGACATCCTCCTCGTCAGAGGAAACTATAACGAGCCCATCATCTCCGTGTAAATCAGGCTTGTAGAGCAAGCGAATCCGCGGCACATCTGCCCGGCCGCTGCCATCTCCAGACCGCCTTGGAGGGTCAAATTCCAGAGCATCCAGCTGCAACCAGGTGTCAGCACATTCAAAGCATACATTCTCTGTGAAGCCAAAGTCTGCAGCTAAGGTCACACCCTCCTGCCAAGGGAGCCACACACCAAACGGAGCCATGGATCGCACACCACAATAAAAATTGCCCAGCCAAATTCCATACCCAGCATCACCGGGGGAAGGCATCTTGCGGCGTCAGCAGAAAGGGCGCTGCGTTGCCATTAACATAGGGCTAGAGGCTTTAAAAGGGTGACTCTGATGCTGCTTGTGTGTGTGTGATTGTGTTGCATTAATAGATTCAATGACTCAATGATATACTGTCCTGACATTGCCCGGCTCCGAGAACACAGGTAGACAGAACTAATTCAGTCGACCCGAGTTTTCAACCAAAACAAAGGCAACAGAGGCACATATAGGCGAATAGCTGGCAACAGTCAGATCATGCAGTGCAGCAGTGGACATCCGGTATGGGGAACCGACGAGCAGATCATAGCAGATCAATATTTCTCTGCCGTGCTTCACAAACTTGTCCGATCTGTCCAAATCTGTCCAAGCAAGAACAAAGCAAGAAAGAAGCGATTTCTTATCACCTGTGCTGCAGCAATACGGTCCTGTAGATCTTCAACCACCGACTTCAATAGAGGATGATGGACCTCTTCAAGCTCAAGGAAAAGACCTGGCTCAGAGAGCACAGGTGGAACATCTTCTGCCACCCTTGGTTTCAAGGACAACCGCTGCAGGATGTCTTTGTGATCAGCAATGAGGCATGGGGCATCTGGACTCGCTGCACTTACCTTGCGCTGTAGCGCCAACTGGTCATGCAGCGGATCTCCGCATACGATGGTTGGAGACACGCCTCCACCTCTTGCTCCTTGGGGTACTTGTTTTTGTAAAATGCATCAAGCAGCAATCGCTGCTTTCTGAAACTGTCCGTGGCGTGAGCTACTGGGGCTGCCTCAGCTAAGGACAGGCCTGATGCCAGCCTGTCCTGTTTCAGGTTGGTTACCACAGCATCCAGATCAGGTTGCAAGTCGACCCAGTCTTCTGTTTCAGCTGCTGTTACAGGCTGAAACAAGGCCCCGTCTACCGTGACCCAAGCTAGGAGCACCGTATATGGGTGTGTTTTCTGACCTGCTTCATCATACATTGCAATCCTTTTTGCTACATCCTGGTTTCCATCTCCTCTGATCACTGAACCACTGTACACATTGATGAGCCGCTGCATCTCGCGTGAAGCTGCCTTGGTGTAATCTTCCAATGCTGCCATGAGAATGGAGCGGATGGATACAGATTTGGGCACTGCACTGCAAAATTCTTTCATGCGCCCAGCTACATTGAGGGAAAGAGCATTGCCACAGATTTGCTCCACCAAAGCCCGCCTCGTTGCCCTAGAGTTGAGGCGGTCGTAGAACAGCTGCACCAAATGGAGCAGGAATCGCCGTGTCAGCAAAACAGGGGCTTGCTTCTTCACGTAGTGCACCAGCAGGGCAGGTCAGGATAGGCTGCAACAACATCATGTGTCTCCACGGTGCAGTTGTCGAAGATGCGCAAGTGCGCGCACGTATGGCAGCGATGGCGGCGACCATCCACTTGCACTGGCAATGGCAGGTCCAGAATCCAAAAGGAACGGCTCTCATCTGCGCGTGGGGCCGCGTGATGGGTAATACCTGAAGCAGCTCGTTCGGCCAGGTGCGCCTGCAAACGTGGCACAACGGATCGCACCGAGTGATCAACTGTGCATGAAGTGGCCAAACCTAGCTCTGCATTGCCAGCCTGCCAGAGAGCTGCCAAAGCTGCATTCTCGCGCAAAGCTCTGCCTTGATCCCCTTGTGTTTCCCCCGGTTGCTTCTGGAACAGCAAGCCTAGGCATGCAAGGCTACATAAAAACAATCTGTTGCGGGTCTCTCTTTAAAGGATGGCAACATGTTACAAAAAATCATCGAGGCCAAGCCACTCGCTCCACGGCGATCATTCGCACAGTTGGCAACCTGGAAATGTAAGCCGACATCTTTGAGCTCACTCCATCTGCATGTGCGGGTCTCTGTGTATTTGGCTTTGAGGACGGTTCGTCCTTGAAAAGTTGCCTGCTTCAATGGAACCACATCAGCCAAAGTAATTTTTCTGCTTGTCCATACACTCAGAATGAACACCGGCTGATCGTCCCGGAAAGCAAAGAGACCTCCTCTGGGCTGCAACTGTGTGACTTTGGCAGCACAGATCTTCAGGAAATGCACTACCATCAGTGTTGTCAGCAGCTCCAACGTCCTTCCTGCTGCCAGCCGTTGGGCAAGACTGCAACGGTCAGGTCCCCTCTGCGGGCTTGTGCTGGCCTGCAAGGCTTCTGATGCTGGTGCTTTTGCCAACTTCGGCTTTTGTGAATCACCTTCCCTAGGCACACCATCCCAACCACGCAACTTTTGGACAAAGAAGCTTCCTCTGGCGCATCCGGCCATGTCTGGCGCAGGGCGGCCGAACATTCGGGGGGCAAGCTGTTGATTGATTAACGGCCAACGTGAAAATAGTACCAGTCAGATGCCATCCGCCTCTTCCGAGATTCTATACGTTTGGAACCTCGCAGCATAGCTAAGGCAACCTGCGGCCCCTGAATGGTGAAGGCTCGCCGAGTCGCTTGCGCTTCGTCGGCCACGGCTTCAAAGCAGAGCTACAAGGTTGTAAATGACAATGATGATCTTGTTCACAGCATGAACACGTACATCTACATATCAGCTCAATGTCACGATGTCTACGTCAATCGCCCGGCTCGGAGAGCACAGGTTGACAATACGTGCCTAAATTTGAGCCCAACGGATGAAGATAGGCGCAGACAAGCAAATGCTACACCACACTGTAGTTAAAAAGCATGAGGTTCTCTGAGCATGCAGGGCAGCTGCAGCAGACAGTGCATCTGAGGAATTGAGAGGATGTCCCGACTATTTCGACCACTAGATTACCATTGCGCCCAGCTTCCCATCGCAAATTTTTACACCATAGCAGGCTGTGCCGCAGACCTGTTTGTCTATACCATATGTCCAAGTTTGTGAAGATGTCTAATTTTGCCGCAGCTGCAGTAGCAACATTAATGGCCACTGCAACTAGAAAGTGGCAAACGCAGATTGCACTGCGGAGCTGTCCCCGCCTCCGTCCTGCGCTCCCCATGTAACAATGGATCCATTGTAGCGCACTGCTGCAAACGCTTTGGCAGACCCATGTAACTTGACATCCGTCAGCATTGGCAAAGAACCCTTTCAAAGAGGGTGTGACTTGCCGGACTTTCTCGTATCACAGAACTATCGCCTCGCAAGGTGGCCTTTCCCCAGGTGACAAGCGACCCTTCCTCCGTGACAGCTGCAAATGCATAAGGCCCTGAACATTCACAATGCCTTGAAGTCGGTCTTGGACCATCGAGCTGTCTCCTCCATTACTATAGGGTCTCCCCAAGCAACCACGGACCCATCCAACACAATGGCAGCGAATGCAGTATGCGTGCTGTGAATCTGCGTCACTCCCTTCAGTTTGGCCTATCTCCGCCACACGACGGATCACCCCAGGTGACGACAGACCCATCATGACGAAGGGCGGCAAATGTAATCATAGTTGGAAGGCAGCAGGCCAAGTAGACACTGCGACCCAAGAAATTCAAGAACCTTAGTTGCTGCGATATCTTCGATCCAGCACACGCTCTCGGACACAGCCCAAGTGGGTCAAGATCGCAGCATCAACCTGTTCATTCCGGCCTGTTGGCCAACCTAGCACTCTCTGCAAAAGATCATGCAGGGGCGACGTTCGGGTCGCAGCAAAGGCTGGGCAGTCCCAGGCCAAGTGATCCCATGTTGGCACATTGCCAGACGCACACCACTTGCAAGGAGCTGGTGCGGTGTTGGGGTCTCGAATCCTATCTAAACGGGCATCTGAAACAACGGCACCAATCAAGCAAGCACGTGAGTGAGTGTTGGAAGACTGGTATGTTTGGCGCGTGAGTTTGGCCCTGGCCTCTTGATAAACACTTCCTTGTACAGCAGTGGCATCACGACGGCCACTTGACAAGAACTGTTGAAACTGTTGTCTGCGCCACGCTTCACGCAAAGCATGGTGTTCTCTCTGTTTGGTGTTTTCATCAATGGGTTGTGTCCAATCAAGCCGGAATTGAATGTCCGGGTGAATCCATGTCCATGCGGCCTCTTCATGCCAATTCAAACTTTGGAGCCAGCTACGGACCGTGCCGAGCCATGTACCTCTGGTAGCAGCATTGGGCCAACGCCGTGGGTTTTCACGCACAATAGGAGCCAAGTGAATATAAGCTCCAAAACCTGCAGCAAAATTTAAGTTCAGCCTATGACCTGAGAGCATGTAAAACAAATTGGGGGAGCCAGCAATATGGCTGCCACCAGTCGTTTTTCGAATGCAAGTGGACAAAGGTTTGGCAGAGAGGGGTTTGAGCCAAGCCCCCCATGCAGCTTTTGTAATTGCCAAAGAACTGACCAAGAAAGCTTTAAGACTGGCTGTAACAGGCAGAAGTCCAATTCTTTCGACCCTCAAGCGGGCATCTTGCAGCCTCGCATCTTGAGAAGGCTTGTGCGCAGCTCCTAACCGTGCCGTAAAATCAACCCCTAGAACTCTAGCACCTTGCACAATGTGAGTTTCGTCGAAACCCGCGGCAATCAATCTGGGCTTAAAGGCAGCTTGCCGAGCCACGATTTGAATTTTTTCTTCGTTCTCTTTCAAACCCACCTTCGGTGAGAGCTGTTTCCAGGTGTCCCACAACCGGGCCGCTAGCTCGGGCGTTTTAGCCACCATGTTTCGGTCATCCAAAAAGGTGACCAAAGTGTGTGGTTCAGGCCTTGCTTGCAACACCCGGCCTGTGAGGCCAGTGAGGACCGCAAGAAGAGTCAAAGGGCTGATGGCGTCTCCCTGAGGGATCGAAGTGTCGACCTGCACTGGCTGCGGCAGGCAATCTCTTCTGAAACACAACCACCTTTCCTGGCTCCAAACTGAGGTAAGAGCAAAGAGGATTTCCTTGGGGCAACCTAGATACTCAAGGCATTTAATTCCAATTCGGGGATCAACGGTGTCAAAACATTTAGAAAAATCTAAAGAAAGGAGGACCCCGCCCTGTCTCTTTTCAAAGTCTTGAAGCAGCCGATCAACGGCATGAGCAACACTTTTCCCCTGGATGCCGCCACAGGCTGAGGAGTGGACCCAGCTCGTGACCCAAGCTCGCGTCTGCGGTCTGCGCGTCCACGCAGAGGCAATGGCGCGCCAGATGACGCTCTGAATCGCAATTGGCCGCAAATCTTTGGCTGGCAACGCGTGATCCGTGTCACGCAACTTAGCGTTTGGTTTTTGGAGCAAAATTTGCCGAATACTTTTCCAAACCGTGGGAACCTCACTTCTCGAGAACCATCTGTTCAACAACTCAACCAGGATGACCCAAGCTTCTTTAGGCCAGGCTGCAATTTCGTCACCTGACCACCCATCGCATCCGGCGGCTGTGCCACGCAGCCTAGAGGCTTGGCTGAAGAGTTCCTCAGCAGTGAGAGGGGTCCAAGCTAGGGGTGAAGGTTGGGGAACACCAAGTTTCCAGAAATCAACTGCTTCTTCAGGGTCGGGCCGGTCCCGTTCCCAAATTTTTTGCCAAAAAGAAAGAACAGCCTTTAAGGATTCATGATCAGAAGAGGTTGCTTTTCCTTGTTTATAACCATCATCGTAAACAGAAGTGACAGGCAATGTGTTGCATTTCTTGACCCACCGACCTGCGTCTTTGCAACTGGACCTCATACGCTCGCGCCAAGCTTGGAGCTGCTCTGTTTGAGTGCTTTGGACATGGCTACGCAATTCTTGCTGTGCCCATTCCCTGGCTTCACCTAAGCTTTGCAAGCCTTCTCTGACAACAAAAGGATGAGAGAAGATACGACGGATCAGGATGGCCGGTGGCTGGCGGCCACGGCTTTGCTGGTTTTGGGCTTCAGCAATACGGCCCAAAAGCTTGCGCAGCCGGAGTTCTTTGAAAGTCGCTTGCTGGGCGATGCGAAAGGTACGAGCATTCGCTGCTTCAACTTGAAACTCTGAACCTTTGTTTCTACTCCGGCTTGGCCTTGGAACAGTAGCCCCGCAGGTTTCCAGGGCAGAGAGGTGTGCTCTCTCCGCAATGTGACAAAATCACTCCATTCTTGGTTGGTATTAGAAACTGGAGGGACCGTGACTTCCGACCACGGAGTTTTTAAAGCATTTTTCCATTCTTGCAAAGAAACATTTGGCGGCGCCGTCCATTTCCTCGTTTGAACTGCCTTAAAGGACCAAACATGGCTTTGGCTATATTGCAGAGAAAAACAAACGGGCTTATGGTCGGAAAACCAAACATCTTCAAATCGCACCTTGTCAATTGTTAGCAAGTGCGAAGCCCAAATCCAATCAATACACCGGGTACCAGACCACCGCGTGGGCTGTGGGACACCATTCTGATTGCAAACCGCACAAGTGCCGCCAAATCCGCTTATGTGGTTCCACCTTTCCCCAAAACAAGGTTCCTCGTTAAAGTCACCCACAATAACCAAAGGGGTGTGTTCACCAGTTGCTCCAACCCATTCATCCAAAGTGGAAGCAATGTCGCATGCCGCTGAGTTAGGCGCTAAATAGGCACCTATGAGGATGGCGTGGTCGAGCTGGAGCATGACCGCTTGACCTTCGGCACGGGTGTGAGTTCTGAGGAGGTGTGCAGATTTATCAAACCTTACAAAAATTCCTACCCCACCGTGGGTCGGAGGGCAAGCAAACCAAGATCTATAACCATTTCGGAGCATAAAGTCAGCCAAGTCAGCTTGCTTAGCCGTGTTCATGCAAACTTCTTGTACCACCACCACAGGCGGGCGATGTTTAGTTGCCCATCGGGCCGCCGCCCAGCAGTTGGAGGCCCCACCAACATTAATAGACATGAACTGCATCTGCTGGCTGCGTCCTGATGGCCCTGGATGCGGGTGCACGTCACCATCCTGGACAACATCTTTGAACCAAGAGCATTTCTGGGCAGGTGGGACCCCGTTGCGCCCCCCTTTCGAAATCAAGTTCTTTTCCATGAGCTCCAATTCCTTGTGCGTGACTTTCCAAGTGGGCACAAGAAACTCAATGAGCTTTGGGTTTTGGCACCTGTGTCTCGCCCTGGGCAGCTGCAGTCACGTTTCTCACATCATAGAGCTGCTGCCGTACCATTGCAGTGTCAGCAACCATCTTCGGCAAGCCCCAGGTAACAACAGATCCGTATGATGTCACCGCGGCAAAAGCGCGGCCGCTGGCAACGATCTGCACCACTTTGCGCAGGCGCTTGCACACACCAGAGCTGTCGGAGCCGTAGGCAGGATGCCCCCATGTCACTACACGGTCATTGTGACACCACAGAGCAAAGGCTTTCCAGGTTGAAGCGAGACAAGGGAAACGCGCGACACATGTAACGCTTGCAGCCGAAGGAATCATACCATCGACCCGCAACACCGCACCTCGCGCGTCCAGGATGACCAAGAACTGTTGATCGAAGCATCGCTGCAAAATCTCTTTGAGTTCCTGAACCTTGGCTGATACTGCTAGCGTGACAGTCTGCTGTTTCCCACTGGGCAGTACCGCAGTTATGTCTTGCGTTTCCATGGCGGCCAATGAAGCGAATGTATTTGTTTAAGTCAATTTCCCGGCACAGGTGGACAACAGTAGCTCAGGCGATCAAACTTGAGCGCAACGGGAGCGACAGTTGCAAATAGGCACAGTCAACATGGCACTGGCAATTTTGATGCAAACAATGAAACCATGGTGCAGCACAGCTGCTGCAAGGACTGCGAACCAGGAAAATCGAGAAAAACAATTGAAAATAATGAGAAGGTGTTTGACGCAAACAAGGACACCATGGTGCAGTACAGCTGCAGCGCGGTCTGCGAACCTGGAAAACTGGGAAAAAATCGAAAATCAGGTGTGGTTTTGAAGTAATGGCAGCATGCAGCATGACACAGACCACAACCAAGCCAGCCGGCTTTTTCTGCGCTTTTCGAACGAAGCTGAATCGTTTCCTGGCCCTTGAGACAGCTGATCTGAAATCATCGGGGAGCAGCTAAAGCCCCCAGCATTAATCAAAGGTATATTCCCAAGCCATGCATGGCCGTGGAAGCAAGTGCTGGCAAAGTTCCACAGTAGCCCAGCGACTACCAGAAGTTGGCAACTTCACAACAGCTTGACAAGATGCGCGCTGGTCCGGCGATGGATGCGTGCTCTCAGGAATGAGCAAGTTTCACTGAACCGACTCTGTGAGATTCTCTTGAGCCGAAAAGTGCGCAGCGTCTAAAGCTGACATGACTCAAAGCGAAATCTTTCGGAAACATCTGAAACAAGCAACAAGATTCGAAATCAAGGTTCTAAAGTTCACGTTATCTCTGAATGCCAATCCTGCCCGCAAAGACACAATCACTCCACCAAATTCAACCCCGGCCTCGGGCATGAGCGTGAAGATAAACTGCAAAAAAAGACTCCAAATAGGGCAGTCGTGGTAACGGTACAGATGATGAATTTCTGTCGCCGGGAGATGAGTTCCTGACATCTCGCTGTTGACTTCAAGATGTCCCAATCACAAACAGAATCTGCAATCTACAGCTCAAGACATTATATACACCAGCACACTTTGCGTCGCTACTTACTGGCTTGGTTCGAACCACTGTACCAAATCTCTATATTTCCATACGGCCCACTGCCTAACCAAGTACGGGTTATAACATACATCCTTGTGATTGTACTTTTGTATGCTCGAGATACCATCGACAGCCCGGCTCAGAGAGCACAGGTAAGCCAAGGGCCGCTAATCTTGACAGTGGCAAGTGGCACCACCAGATAGAGCCAATGTTTGCAAGTTCAGTCACATTGGGAAACATGCATCTGGAAACACACAGACCCGCAAGAATGCCAGATAGGATGTCAGAATGTATGCCACATAGACTCCCATAAAAAATGCCAGATAGAATGTCAGGCAATATGTCAGATGAAATCTCAGACAGAATGCCAGATAGAATATCAGATAGAATGCCAGAAAGAATGCCCGATAGAATCTCAATATATATATATGTCAACCAGAATGCCAGTTGACCGGGGCCACTCGAGGAAAGTAATTTTGACTATTATCGTTTATCAGGTGGGAGCTCCAATTTGCGCAAAATGGGGCCTGCCAGTGTATATCGCGTGCCCGCTTGCCCCGCTTGCCCCGCTTGCCCCGCTTGCCCCGCTTGCCCCGCTTGCCCCGCTTGCCCCGCTTGCCCCCGTCAAGTGGGGCGGAGTGGGGCGAGTCGGGCGAGTGGGGCGAGTCGGGCGAGTAGGGCGAGTGGGGCGAGTAGGGCGAGTGGGGTCGAGTAGGGCGAGTGGGGCGAGTGGCCAAAATCAATTAATTTCCCTACCAAGGCAAGTGGGGCGAGTGGGGCGAGTGGCGGATTTTAATTAATTTGCTAGCCCAGGGCAAGTGGGGCGAGTGGGGCGAGTGGCGGATTTCAATTAGTGTTCCTCGTGGGCGCCCGCAATGCAACTTCTCCTATAGGTTTCCTATTTTTGAAACTTCCACCACCGCCTTGTGCGGTACTACTGGTATATGTGATATGATCGTACTAATGATTACTAATGTGATAGGCGGATGTAGATGGATGTAGATGGTAGAGTAGCCTTTTCTGCGCAAACTAGTTGCCATTTTTATCCATTTTTGCATCTTTTTGCCCTGTGAATTGTGAATGACCTATAGGCTCATCTCACTGCAAAGCCAACATTGCTCCAGTGCATCATGGCATCAAAACCAGTCCAAACCACTGACCACCCATGTTAATTCTATCATATTCTATCCAGTTATCCAGTTTTGGAGGTGTGGTGGGGTTTGCTCCATCCCCATCTCCAAGATTCCCCAAGTACTCCGATTTCAGGCCCAAGGAATGAAGCGCTTCTTTTGTCTCTGGACACATACGTCCCGCATTCGATTGGCACAACGGCTGATCTCTGCGGAATTCGGCCTCCACGTTCTTCGGGAACTCGACTGCGCGGTTGTTCGGGGCCGTTCGGGGCCATTCGGGGCACATCCCTCAACTCTTTGGGCCGCTCAGTTTCTTCTGCATGTGAGCATGCAGGGCTGTCCGTGCAGCCTGACGGGCAAAGGCTCCAGGAAATGCTGGAAATTCAAACCACATAGACCGCCTTCATATACAAAGAAAAAAACCTTTGCATGTCCAAAATTGGACAAAAACATCCGGGATACAGCAAGCATCCCCAACCATTGTGATGTTTGCATCATTTCGCACTAACATCAACCGAGTCGTGTGTTCTTGCGGCCTCAACAGCTGCAGCATCCAGTGCAGGCAACGCGCTCACAAAGAGACGAGCAGCGCCACCTGGAAACAAAGGCATTGGGTGGTGAAACCAGTCAGGTTCAAAGGAAAAGACAGGCAGGAAACCCATGGAAATTCCTAACTTATCTAACTTTGGCTTGTAAATCCATTTTTGATAGCATTGGTTGGTTGAATTGAAGCAAAAATTGCAGAAAACATCAGGAACATGTTCGATTTTAGTGATGGCGGTGTCAATTCATCCCAAAAGTATTTCCAAAACCAACAACCCCAAACCTATATTGATAATTGATCATATTTACAGTAACCATGGCGGTCACTAAAAAACTCGCTTTCGACGTGTGGATGGCAAATTCAGACTCTTTTTCTTCTTTTTTTTCATATCCAAAACCAACAGGGGGGGCATACCATTCCAGATTTTTCTGCCGCGGACTGGCCTCGCTCAAGGCTGGAATTCTGCTTCAAGCTATGTCGCAGCTTGGCATTTTGCCGCTCTGCCTTCTCACAGGCAGCTTCGCAGCTGGCCTGCGCGTTGGGAATGTCATCGCTGGGAATGGCGTAAGTTGATGTTGTTTGTAAAAGGAACACACCAGAAACTTGGTAATAAGACAGATGTACATCATAAATGTGTACTGTATACCGGGCATTGACAGCCTGTCAACATTGCAAACAAATGCAAACAGCTTGACCCCGAATGCGTTTCATTTTGTTCTCTAAGATCACTGGACAAATTCTCCCAAATCAGACTGCAACTGTTGAATGCTGCAGTAAGATTTAAAGTAGACCCTCTCGGCAAGATTTGGCAAGTATCTAGATACCATTCTGCATGAATCAGACTTAGGAATCTTAGAAGGAATAGAAGAAAAGGTTTATTCGCCCAGGTGCTTGATGCCCCATGTTTAAGTACAGTAGCATGGGCATCCCAGAGCCTGCTCACTTTCAAGCTCTGCAAGCTGCTGTTCAGCTCCGGAAAGTGCCACAACCTGCGAAAGATTTCGTTGCCATCCAGGATCTCCAGGGATCTCCAGGGATCTCCAGGCCCCTTGTGACGAGTCCCAGTCAGCCCAGCCGAGTCAGCCCCCTGGATCCCCTGGATCCGTGCGCACCGTGGATTCCTTGCCCACCTTGAGCTGAGCCTTCGCTTCCGCCTCCAAAACGTGTCCAGCCCTATGAGTGAAGGTACGGTAACTCCAGAAACGACCCTAATCGATATAGATCATTAAGAGAACATGTTGTTGATCAAACATAGGATCATTTAGTTGTGGATAGTTTAGTTTTGGATCATTTTGGTCTACAAGTAGCAGGATGTGAGAGTAGCGCGAACATCGTAGAACGGAAAATCCATCTGCATCCATCTGCAAAAAGTACAAGTAGGTGGATGCTAAGTCAAATGATTTCGGCCTCCGCCCGGCGCTGTCTTAGTGCCAGTACCTCTGCCTGCGCATTCGACTTTCGTCGATAGGAAAAACGATGGGATGACAATTGAAACTGAAACTTCTGACAGCTTTCTGATGCCCTGAGCCTCCAGTCTGCTAACTTCTTCTTTCCAGAATTCTACCTGACGTGACTTGAACTTTGCAGGTGGAGTTAATTCAAGAAGGAAACCTTGCAGGAAACCCTGCTCGTTCAAAACCATGGATTTTCTGCTGTTTTTCGCTTTCGATACGGTGTGATGCAGTGTAATGCAGTGTGATGCAGTGTGATGCAGTGTGATGCAGTGTGACACAGTGTGACGCAGTGTGACGCAGTGTGACGCAGTGTGACGCAGTGTGATGCAGTGTGACGCAGTGTGACGCAGTGTGACGCAGTGTGACGCAGTGTGATGCAGTGTGACGCAGTGTGACGCAGTGTGACGCAGTGTGACGCAGTGTGACGCAGTGTGACGCAGTGTGACGCAGTGTGACGCAGTGCGACGCAGTGTGACGCAGTGTGACGCAGTGTGACGCAGTGCGACGCAGTGTGACGCAGTGTGATGCAGTGTGATGCAGTGTGATACAGTGTGATACGGTGTGATACAGTGTGGTACAGTGTGATACAGTGATACTGTTGATACTAGTATATCAGTTGTTTCAATTTAAACATATATAGTGATACAGCTTGATACAGCATGATACAGCATGATACAGCATGATACAGTATGATACAGTATGATACAGTATTTTGCAGTATGATATTATGTGAATTCAGTGAATTATGTGATATTATGTGATATTATGTGATATTATGTGATATTATGTGATATTTATGTGATATTTATGTGATATTATGTGATATATGGATAATGGAGGTCTT